TAAGAGCAAATGAGTTGTCTTACTTTTCTATTACTGTGATTAAATGCCATGACCAAGAGACACTCCAGGAGGAAAAGCGGGGGTTCCTTCTGGACTCCTGCATCTAAATCCATCACTGAAGGAAGTCAGGACAAGAAGTCAAGGCAGGAACTGAAGCAAAAGCCAAGAGGTGCTATGAGATTCCCCTCTGTATGCTGTGAATACCATTGGTTAATAAAGAATACTGTCTTGGGCTTGCACAGGGAATAGAGATAGGCAGGGGAAATGAAACTGGATCCTGGGAAACAGAAGGTAGAGTTAGAGAGACGCAATGTAGCCACACCAGAGTTAGGACTTTAGATGGTAAAAGTCACTGCCACGTGGTGATACACAAATTAATGGAGATGGGGTAAATATGTAAGAGTTAGCCAATAAGAAGCTAAAGCTAAGGGGCCAAACAATGATTTAATTAATATATTTCCCGTGTGATTATTTGGGGGCTGAGCACCCAGGAACTAACTAGAGGCCTCCTTACAACAATGGGGGAGTACTGCTTACCTTACTGGCTTGCTCCCCATGGCTTGCTGAGCCTGCTTATACACCCCGAGACCATCTGTTCTGGGCTGGTACTACCCACAGTGACCTCCCACATCAATTGTTAGTTAAGATAATAATCCACAGGCCGCCTACAGGACGATCTTATGAAGGCATTTTCTCAGCTGAGATTCCCTCTTCCCAGATGTCTAGGTTTGTGATGAGTTGACAAAAACCTCGGAAGAGGAGTGATAATCTGTTCCTTCATGTCACTGTTTAAAGACACGCTTGTGCCTCTGCTAACAAGCTGCTGGTTGGGAAACCACTAGATTGCATCATGGAAGATGGTAAGTCTCTTACAAGAAAGCAGAGTGTGGCAGTCATGGTGCAAGGCTCAGGTCATGAGGCTGGCTCATGCCCGTCTTCCATTTTGTATTATACACTCTTAGTACTTACACGTGTAACTAATTCAAAAAGCATTGGAAACTAAATATTTATTCACCCAATAAAAGCCAGTCAGCTGCATATGTTGCTTCAATTTTTTTTTTTTTAAATTAGGATCTCCCTGGACCTGTAATTCCAGCCACTTGGGAAGCTGGGACAGGAGGATCTCTAGTTCAAGCTGCATACCTGGGCAACTTAGAAGCTGTGTCAGAACGTACAAAGAGGGCTGGAAGTATAAATCAATGTTAGATCACTTTTCTGGCGTGCATGAAGCCCTGGGTTTCAGGAGGAACTTGCTCAAAATTCAATTTAACAATGCACGAAGTTGTAACGATGTCCGTGATTCTTGCTAAGCTAAAGTTAGAAACACTACAGTTCATAATCTGTGTGATTTGCACTGTTTCGTTCCTCAGGGGTTTAGATGTTGTTGTTGTTGTCGTGTGTGTTTATTTTCCAAGGGCTTCCCCTTAAGTCAGAATTATGTGTCCCGGCCTCTTGTGAAAGGCTACCCTCTGAGCAGGTCAGCCATCACTTTCAGGAGAGTAACTGTTACAATCGGTAAAGACTCTTTCAAGATTGACCTGTTGGTTACTGGCATTCCTTCATAGAAGTGGGTGAGGTGGATCGCAGGGCCCCCACCTGAGATTCCAGCCATGCCGACCGCGTGCCCCTCTCCAGCTGTGTGCAGTTCTGCTCTAATTGCGCGTGGCCTCGTGGGCTTGGGTGGCGCTAGAGTTTATAAGGGCGGAGGATTATCACAAGAAGTGCTTCTCTGGTGGTGCAGGTATGGGGAAGTCATCATTAATCGTCCATGCTGCCCTTAGGCTGCTCGGTGATCCTGCTGCTTCGAGATCGCTTGCATCCTGTAAGTAGGCCCAGCAAGTTCTGCTATCTAAGCTAGATGAGGGTGGGAGCCAGTGTTTGGGCTGTCATTGGAACCCTATCAGGGGAGAGTAGACATGCGATCTCATCCCTCAGGACAAGTTAAGAAAACACCACTGAAACCTGGGTCTGCTGCACACTGACCACGGCTGAACTTCACCCTAGCCCAATCATCTGCTTTAAAAAGCAAAACAACAAAAGATATTGCTTTTTTAGATAGCAAGTCAAACTGTTACTGAAAATGCCATTTTAAACTCTGGTTTGGTACCATCCACTTTTAACTCTCCTTATGCGAAGCCTCTACGGCTTCCACCGGGGCGCAGGATAACCCAAGGGTTGACTAAAGGCCTTTTGTCTGTCCTGGGGATAGATGCAACGCCAAACCAGGCAGCGGCATGCATGCATGTGCACTTTGGCAAAAGGACCGGGCCACCATACATTCAGGGCACAGAGAAAACGGAGGAGCAACAGCACTGCCCCTGTGGTTGGAACACAGTGGCATAAGGACGGCTTCCTCGAGGAGTGGTGGAGCCCGCACCGCCTGCAGGTCCTCTCTCCTAAATGGCGGGACAGGCCAGGGCCCGCACAGCGCCACAGCACATAGCCCCCTGCCGGCGGGCGGCCCCACAGCACCGTCCCCTCCTTCCTGGGACCTGTAGCGGACAGGTCAGAGGTCATCTGGGATGGAAAGCACGCAGCTCCTCCAGGAAACACTACGCGGGTAAGGGGCGTGGCCAGGTTGGGCGGCGCTGATTGGACGAGCGATTCCCGCTTTCCGTTGGCGCTGAGGAGGCTGAGGAGGAGCACGGGTCAGTCACACTCGACGTCCGTCCGTCCGTCCGGAGCCCACGGAGGAGACTGGGTAGGCGGTCGCCAGGCTGGGGTGCGCTGGGGCCCGGAGAGCGGGCGAGCCGAGCGATGGGGGCGGCGTGGCGGCCACAGCGGCCTCGGTTCACGGAGAAGGAGCCGCTGAGGCGCGAGGCCCGCGCAGGCTATGGCCGGGCCCGGAGCGGGAGGCCCCAGTATGCGCCATGGCGGGGCTCGGGCCGGGGCCTCTGCCGCCCCCGCGGGCCCTGACGGGGCCTCTGGTGTGGAGGGGTCCCCGTGACTCCCGTGGGCCTTCCGCGGCCTCCTCTCGGAGGGCACGGGCACCGCCCACGCGAGGCCGCCAGGTGCTCGAGTGCGGCCTTGTCTGTCTGTCAGGGCCGCCCGGGCCCCAGCCGAGCGCCAGAGCCCAGCGCCAGGCTGCCCTGCCGGGACCCCACCCTCCGGGCTCACACTCGGGGACTCCTAAAGGCCTTTTAAACGGTGGCGGAAAAGCTCTGAGGCCGCCAGCATTCTTCCAGAGATGCTGGGAGTGGAACTGGGTTATTTTTCTTTCTTAAAGCAAAACGAAAATCCACCTAGGTGTAGACACTAATTAAAATTTCCGTGGTTGGCTTCCTTTCAAAAACTACGGCTAGAAACTAGAACTGTGTGGCTAGCATCAAACGTCTTTGCGACCTAATTCTGTGCCGTGTGTTCTGGCTCAGTGCGCTTTTGGGAAAACCGCGCTACTGCGATTGTGAGACACGACCCGGCTGCTGGCCCTCAGGAAACAGAGTTCACCAGATCGCTACAATATATTTTAAATAATAGTTTTCAGTCACATTTTCAAGGTGTAAATGAAATGTTTCAGTCTGGAATTTCTTTTTAACTGCAGTAAAATGAAAAGGGGGATGTTATGGTATTTTTATAACTATTGGCAAAATACCTGCTCAAACTTAATGTATTCATTATGAATATTTGATAGTGGGTTAGTGATTTTTGGATAAGCAATAAAGACCTACTTAATTTATAAATTAGTACATTTTATATACTCATTTTCTAACAATCACTGTCATAACCACTTTTTGACAATCATTAGGATTGAAACAATAGTTATGTTCAAAATACGTTTAATGTTTCATAAAAACGTGTATTTTAAATATTTTCTTGTATATTGAATTTTTCTTAGAATTCACTATTGACCTTATATGAGCCTTCAAATGTCTTAGTAACTGACATTTTTGAGTACATATTACTCTTTTATAGTGATGAGAAATATTCTAATAGTTGCTAGCTAACTGCTACCAACAAAAATTTTTGATGGAAGTAATTTAAGAGACTTCATTAAAAAGAATCTTATGATCTCGGATAAAGGAGCTTGAATAAAATGTCTTTTCAGGAACAAAGAAGAGGCTGGCTCAAATACAGGAAGCTTCTGTCCTTCCCAAAACCCTTTTTTGTCTTTGTTTTGCCGGTTTTATCCATATCCCTCCTTGTTTCTCAGTATTGTATAAATAGCCCGCACCTATAGACCCGGCATTTGAATCCTTCCACCTATTTTATTTTTAACGCATACACAGGTATTCTTCACAGAATATAACTTGCTCTTATGCGTAGTTTAAAATTTTTACAGACGCTCTCTAGAGAGTTCATTTATGTCTCGCTTGACTTCTGTTTTTTACCCTGTTTTGAGATGGGCCTCATTCTGAGATAGACAGTAGATTAAACTACACGTTTAAGTGTTGAGTTGTATCCTGTGCACATGACATTTATTTGCCTGCTTTCTCCCCACCACATCAACAAAGGCAGGGTTCCTGCTGTTAGAGGCAGTAGTGCAATAAAAATTGAGTACTGTTTAGACCTCTATTTGTATAAAACTAGACTTGGGACTGCATGTTATGAAACACAGACAATTTTTTTCTGTTTGCACTTTGAGGAAAAGTAGAGATATTATTGATACCCATCATTTCCTGTTTTCCACATTATTAGGCTTTTTAGTTTTTGCCAGCCCAGTGAGTGTTGCTATTGGTTATCTTTTTAATTAGAAATTGTTATAGAGGTAACATCTTTTTCTTAGTCACTTGGGGTTTTGGGTTTCTACTTTAATGAATGAATTGTTCTTAATCTTTTCTACTTTCATGTTAATTTCCTCATTGATTTATCAGTTACTCAAAATTATTTTAATTTGTCTTAGGAACAAAAACTAAACACATTTGTGCAAGATATATAAAGTATACGACAAATATCCAGAAAGGACTTTTAAGAAACTGTTCTATGTGGTAGATAATATGGTACATAAGATGTTCTCCTTCATAGGTGTCTGTCTTCTCCTGCTGTTCTTAAATGAAGTAAAAATGCCTGTGAGACCAGACTTCCAAGTATGTAGTCCCTAGACAACAAGCAATCACTTTAATCACTAAAATAACTTTGTGTACTTACATCTGTCTGTTGCTGTATCTTTAGTAATGACAAACTCAATGTTTTAATACATATTGAAGAGTAATTTAAATATTGTATCTTCTTAAATACTTTAAAGTATAGTAGTAGCATAAAATACAAAAGGTATTGATTCTTTATGTGCTTTCAGTATTAAAAAAGTCATTCACTGATTAATATATTATACCTAGACAGATAGAAGTTTTAGATTGTGATTCTTACATTTATCTACATGTATCTTATCACTAAGTCTGTTTAGTGAACAGAATGCAGTCTGAATGCTGGACTGTAATAGTGGGGTAGCGGGTTTGATAAAAGTTGGATTACGGTAATACGTAGGTTGAATTAATGGATGTAAATTTTAGAAGGGTAAATTCATCTTGATGCAGTTTTATTTTTAAATATTAGAGTTTGTACTAAGGTATGCTAGGATGTTTCCTGTTTAAGTATAGTTGCTATAATTTTTTTTTTAGTTTTTGAGTCAGTGAAGATGTAAATATAAATTGGAAACTTTAATATTTTCTATCTGAAATTGTTACTAAAGAACATTTATAATTCAGTTACTCTGAATAGTAATAGGCTTTTTAAAAAAGCTATTTTATGAGCTGATTAATTTCATTCAAAAACCATCTTTGGTGACTCAGTTGCCTGAAGAGACTAAATTTGTTGGAATGTCTGTGCTGTTAACTCTCTCTCTCCAGCAGCTGGAGAAGTGTATTGATGATGCCTTGAGAAAAAATGACTTTAAACCTTTGATGTTACTTGTACAAATTGATATTTATGAAGATGTGAAGATTAAATGTAGCAAACAATTCCTCCGCAAGTTGGATGACTTAATATGCAGGGTAAACTCATTCTTGTTTAATGGCTCTTAAAATTATTACATTTGATTTTAGTTTCTAGGAAGTACTTCATTTAGAAAAATAGAACAGAGAAAAACCTTGGACAAGTTTGCTTAGAGTTACTTAGATGTTGTTTTCTCTTGCCATTTGTGTATTATTTGAGGCATATCAACACGCTGAAATTGTTTCTAAAGTAAAATTTATAAGAATCTATGTTCTATTATTAATCTGAAGGGAAAGGTTTTACAAAGACCTATTGGCACATTTCTGGTGGTATGCAGTGCTTGGTAATTTAAAAAATAAAGCAAACACAAAATAATCCAAGACCTTGGATTTGATTTAACATTTCTGAAATTTAGATTAAGAAAAGGTAACTACAAATTGGTTCCAAGTATCTTAAGATTGGTGATGAATCATTGGTTGAATAAGAATTTCTAATCTATTTATGGTAGCTCATGCCTGTAATCTAGCGCGTGGCAATGCTGAGGCAGGAGGAATACCGCAAGTTTCAGGCCTGTCTCAGCTAAAGTCAGTCAGTCTTGAGTTTCATTCTTTAACATGGGAGGGACAGGTGCTTCCATAGAGTTTTGAGTCCTGCAGAGGAGCGCTCACCATTTGCCCTTAGTGGGGTGGTTTGGGACAAGTTGCTTTATGAAGCCAGTCTTCTCATCATTTCCACTGTAAAGATAAGAACAGCTCCCTTTTAGAATTGAGGATTGTAAACTGATGCTGTTCCAGGAACAGTGTCTATCCCATACTACTTTGTATTTAAACTGCTGCACTTAAATACTTTTTGTTTTAGGAACTTAACAGAAAGAATATTCCAACTGTTTCAAACATCTTGGTATCTGTTGGGAGATGCAGCAAGAATATCTTTATACTGGGACAAGCTGGACTTCTAACCATGATAAAGCAAGGCTTAGTACAAAAGATAAGTACATAGTCACGGAAGGAAATCTGATAATGATATAGAGTGATAAAGGTACTGTTTAAAAAGTAGTCCAAACTGCTGAAAGTAAAATTAGGAACTTTAAAATAGAACTGTTGAATATTTTTATGATGTTGGATATATGTTATAAGGATAAAGGTCAGAATGAAACTGCACAGGTTTCTTGACAACTATGTGAATTTGATGCCAGTGGGCCTTTATTTGGATCATTTTCTGAAGACCTAGTCATTTAGGTTAACTATGTGACCCTCACACTAACATATAAGACACTAATATTTGTATTTTCACTGACGTAACAGCACATTGATTAGTACCTCTGACATGTTATGTACTCATATCTGAATCAAATAAGGTAAACTAATTTTAAAAATACCCAAATAATATAAACTGTCTTGATAGTTTTACAATAAGTGTATCTGTATTAAAAAGTTAAAGAGGGAACTGTAAGGGTTGTTGTAATGGAATTAAGTTCATTCCTGTTTTAAACAGTGAGGAAATAGAGTAAGTTAAAAAAAATACAAGACATTTTAAAATGTAAAATTTCTTTGATTCAATACTGGAATTTTTTATTTTTAATGTCATTTTATTCTTAGGTTTATCGACTAAACAAATACAAGGACATAAAATTTATTAAAATGGAATTCAAAATAACTTAATATATGTATTCATCTTTACATGGTTTCCTGGTTTGAAAAGTCCAAGGAGGTTATTCTGAGCCAAGGACAATCAAAAGATGAAGCTGTTACAAATATGATAGAAGACTTATTTGATCTTTTGATGGTAAAAGTGACATTGATTGTTAAAGATCATGAATTTATTAGAAAGTTATTTGTTTTGGTTTAAGAATCATTAGTAGGGCGCTGGAGAGATGGCTCAGTGGTTAAGAGCATTGCCTGCTCTTCCAAAGGTCCTGAGTTCAATTCCCAGCAACCACATGGTGGCTCACAACCATCTGTAATGAGGTCTGGTGCCCTCTTCTGGCCTGCAGACATACACACAGCCAGAATATTGTATACATAATAAATAAATAAATAAATAGTAGATTGGCTAGTGACTTGTACTGATCTGTCTAGAGCAGATAAAGCATTTGAACTGACTGGTATTAAATAATTTATTAATAAACAGTTATGCTGTGAATTAAAATTATTTTAATAGCTTTTATAATAGTAAATTATAAATTATATATTTACATTTTTTAGGTTGTATATGACATCAACGATGAAGGTAAAATATCTTATTTCTATAAACATCTTACTGGGAACTTTTAGTATAATTATTTTAATACCCATAATACTGTCCTAGGAACTTAATGATCTAATTAAAGAATCAAATGTTTTCTGTAAAGGACCAGGTAGTAAAATTTTAGACTTTGTAGGCCAAGAGAAAATGCAGACATTAGGTAGGTATTTCATATAAGAAAACAAAATCCAAAATTTATGGGTACAGTTGAGAATGTTTTTGTATTATGGATTTTCTAACGAGGCAGAAAACAATATTTTGCAATTTAGGGATCCAAGATTTTGTTTTTAAAATTGATATGCTTGTAATTTTATATATATCTTATAGAAAAGACCTGTATTTGGCCTTCAAGAAAATATCGGTTAAGGAATATTTTAATTAAAAATGTCTATCACATGAAGTATTAACTGAATTCTGATACTTGCTGCAGTGTCTGCTCTTTACAATAAAGTCATTACTCCCACTGAAGGTGATGTAGAATCTCCTCAGTCACAATAAATGGGCTTGGAATATAGCAGCTATACTTTGTACTAAAATCAATGTCCAAAATTATTGCTGGACTGCAAGTTGGAACTTGGAAAAAATGTCCGCTGCATATTTGTGTAGAAATGGATATATGTATGTATGTACACACACATATATCAGATCTCCATTCCTTCACAAATATGCAGGGGACATTTTGTTTTATGTGTGTGTGTAACACACACATTTTTTGAGACAGGATCTCACCTAGCCCAGGCCACTCCTCATGTAGCTGAGAGATTTGAGACCCTGATCTCTTGCTGCCACCTAATGAATGCTGGGATTACAGGCATGTGCTCAAAATGCCTAATTTAGGGATTTTTATGTGTTCACTATATCAGAAACATTGATAAACTTGTAATGTTTTTCCTATGTGTCAGATTTTCTGGATAATCATAAATTCATTAGAATATAAGTGAAAGAATCATTTCCTTTCTTCAGTCTGCCTTGGCCACTAAGTTCTCAGGCCTGGTTTTCCTGATAGTATTTTTATGCACCTATATACTTCTACAGTCTCAATTTACTTGAATAAAATTTATGAGGTCCATTTTATGTTGGACCATCTACTCCTGGTTTTGGGGCCTGCTTGAAGTGTGGTTGATAATACCCAGTAACATTCCATTAGGGGGAAAAAAAAACCTGATTTCCCATCAGGTATTAACAGCAAATAACTAAAAGTTGAGGGTTTAACAACAACCACAAAAATAAAAACAAAAAAATCCCAAACCCTCAAGTCACTTGGAGATTCTTGAGAGATAAATGTTGATTTCTTTTATAAAATGCTTGCGGTATGACTGAAAGTTAATGAGTCAATTTTTCAGATAGCAAGTGACGGTTAAATTGATTTAAGATTAACATCTGCCAATAATTTATTTTTATTCAGGTAAAAACCAAGTATTGGAAAGTTTCATAGCTCGCATCTGTGCCCTTGTTATTGATTCAAGAGTGAATGTTTGCATTCAGCAGGAGGTAACTGTCTTTTAACACCTAAAAATGAGAAAGTAAATGATAAAATGAAATAGCAACTTAGACTAAGTTTCCTAAATTTATTTCATTGGGTTTATTTCTATTGTCTGAATAATTCATTGCCTGATAATGTATATTCTAAATATTCATTAAAAATCTATAACTAGATTTATATGTATATCATTAATGTGAGAACCTAAACTTTAGTATGTAAATGCCAGAGTAGCATGTAGTCCTGTATGTGTACATGCGTATGCGTAACCATAAGAACATAGCTACCCCCTTAGATTTTAGAATAGTTGAATGTGTTATTTCACAGTGGGTGTGAAAGCTTTAGTAAGGGAATCAGCACGCACTAGACTGGAAGTCCTTTCCCTCCCTCACCTAGATGCATATTCCCTACTTAGCACAATTAAGAGAAAACCAAAACTTTGAGTACATATACCTATTTCTCCAAATGCTTCTTGGAAAACAAAGCTACTTTTTTTTCTCTTCTAGGCTTTAAAAAAAATGAATTTGATGCTTGACAGAATACCTCAAGATGCCAACAAAATACTTTCTAATCAAGAAATACTAACTCTCATGTAATAATTTTTTAATAACTTGTTTTGATCAATTGTTCAATTTAACAGTTGTAAGAAACATGGTAACCATGAGTTTTAATTAGATAATCAACTGACAGTTTTATAATTTTTGATTTAATATAGCACTTATGTTTTGTCCTAAAGTCAGTTATACGAGTCTGTTCAGGTTTTAAATGTTTTTTCCCCAAAACATAATAGGCTTACTATCTAATACTTCAGTATATAATTTCTTATTTTAATTCATAGGAGTAATATGGGAGAGAGGATTTTATATGTAGGAGGTAAGTATCTCTTTCCAAACTTTGAAATCATTTCAAATTTATGAATGTTAAATACCTCTGAAGATGTTACTAGAATAATATACCAAAATAATTATAATCTATTTATGTAAACCAAAGGAAAATATTAGAATCATAAAGACATGTCTTGGAACAAATAATTTTTTTTTTTTTAAATTTATTAGTTATGTATACAGTTAGCCAGAAGAGGGCACCAGACTTCATTACAGATGGTTGTGAGCCACCATGTGGTTGCTGGGAATTGAACTCAGGACCTTTGGAAGAGCAGGCAATGCTCTTAACCGTTGAGCCATCTCTCCAGCCCTTGGAACAAATAATTTATCATGACAACAAAAATTAGATAAATATAATCATGCCTAGTTTTAGTTATGATCAATTTATTAGAATTACTTGTGCTAAAATTTTCCTAAATGACACATTATAATGTCCAATATTTTTGTAGTTGATAGGCAGTTTTTAAACAATATATTTACTTCAAAGAACTTAAGTTTTCATTGGTTTCCTGTGAGTAAATTTTGATTGAGTGATTATATGTAAAGTATGGCTTTAATATGTGCTCTGGGATAAGTGTAAACGTAACAATTTTGTATGTTGTATGGATTGTTTTTCAATTTATAATTATAATGACATAGTAGAGTCTTAGAAGATTTAGGGATTTCTTTGACTTTTAAAAATTTTATTTATAAAAATGAATAATTTAGTAAATTTTTTTCTTTTGGTTTTTGTGCCTTATGAAATCAAGTTTCATAAGCTCAACTTTTAGAGTTTTGACCTCTACATTAATTAACAATCTTTTTAAGATTATGAATTACAGGTAGGCATTGTGGAAGCCTTGTGTAGAATGACTACGGAAAAAAGGAGACGAGAACTGGCATGTCAGTGGTTTTCAATGGATTTTATTGCTAATGCATTTAAAGGAATTAGAGACTGTGAATTCGAAACAGTAAGTAGCATAAAATAACAAGTTTAGTAAAGATTTTTTTGTGTAATTTTGATTTTTAAAACCATTTTTCTTTTGAAAACTAGGATTGCAGGATATTTCTCAACTTGGTAAATGGCATGCTTGGTGATAAAAGAAGGTAAGCTGGATGCAGCTCGTAGCCATTTGTTAGTAAGGAAGTAGAGCTGAGCCCAATTATGGATGTTATTAATATAATTTTTATTGCACTGCAAAAATTTATTTAAGACAGTATAAAACATACAGTAAGTTAGCACACTGCTAACCTGAAATACTCTTCTGAAGGCTTTATTTGGCTTTGTACTTGGAAGGAAAAATGCATTTTATCTAATTTATATTAATAACTGAGTGTCCAAATTTGGTTTACTCTACTTCAGAATTGTATGTATATTATTTGGTTTTTGAGGAATGATAAAAATCTGACTATACATCTACGCACTGGAGTGAAAATGTGTAGAAAACAAATCCTCGTACTGTAAAAGTAACATAAGTAGACGTTTTAGTATTTAATACCAGAAGCAAGAATGAACTGAAAATATAATTTTTACCATTAAAATTTATGTGTATGGGTGTTTTTATCTGCATTGTATATCTGCGTTCCATGTACATACAGTCCTGAAACAGCCAGAAGAGAAAATTGGATCACCTGGAACTGGAGTTAACAGAAGGTTGTAAGAAGCCATGTGGCTGCTGGGAACTGAGCTCTGGTGCCCTGGAAGGAACAGCAAGTGCTATTAACTGCTGTGCCCTTGCTCCAGCCTAGAGCAATACCATCGCAGTACTTGGCCCCGGGGATGATGTTCCTGATAAATCTTGTTTGCATTATTTATAAGGAAGTGAGAGATAGGGTTAAATTCAATGAGTCATATATCTGCATTTGAATCATAAATTCCCATCTGTTCTTTTATTTGTTATTTAACCTTACTTTCTTCATTTTCCTTAGCTGTATCATAAGAATACTAATAATACTTATTGCTTCTGTTTGTTATGGAGACAGAACACACTGACATACTTAAAATAGTATCTTGCCATAAAAATGTTCTAAGGAGTTAACCACTTTTACAATCGATAACTCACATCTACCTTTTACCCGTCCAAGTCCTGTGGGATCTTGTATTGATACCTATTGAATTTAGAAACACTTGTTCATGTTTGAAAGGATATATTTTTAAAGTTGGTATAATTCCTTTAGTCAAAGTGGTAAGTAAATAGTATATCTAAAGTAATAATGCTTTTCTTTACCTAAACAAATTCCAATAAATATTTGTTGAAAATAGTAATGGCCTGGCTTGGTGGGTTTTCACCTTAGCTAATTGCTGCAAGTTTGCAGCAGGGGTATCAAACTTGAGGCCAGCCCAGATAACAATGAGACCCTATCTCAAAAATTGCATTAAAGAGATTATTTTATTTAAAATTTTATAATCAATTTCTGATTTCTCTTTGATTCGAGACATCGTTTTTCTTATGGCTGAACAAGTTAGAGACATTTGTATATTTATAACTGGACAAGTTAATTCTGGGAAGGTAAATTTTTTTAACTAAAATGTTTTGTGTTTTAGGGTCTTTACATTTCCTTGCTTGTCAGCATTTCTTGATAAATATGAGGTAGGTTTTAAATTTATCCAAACTTTGAGTTATTTAGATAATTTTTATGTAAACTAAATGGATTATGGGTTATGTAATGATTTAAAACACTAAAAGTACTAGATTTAGATGGTTTAGCTGACTGGTCCTGTATATGATAGTGACACCAGGAAAAATATGAGCCCGCTCACCTGAGCCAAGAAGGAAAACAGCAGATCATAGTTCTCCACATTTTCTCCTCTTCTTAAAGGCATTGCTGATTATCATTCATAAGTATATTCAAACTATTTTCAATCTCTATTAGTACTTAAAATGATGTCTGTGTAAAGCATTTAAGTAGCATTTTCTTGTGCCAAACTATCTAAATATTAATGCATGTAGACAGATTGATGGTCTTCATCTACTTAACACTTTATCTCTTAAATACTCAGGGACTATTCTACTTTATAAGTGTTGCTAGAGTCTAGAATCCTAAATAACCTCAAATAATTCAATCATGGCTATAATCTAATGGCAATTTTCCAAGTTTTGTAAGCAGAGTATATAATTTTTATGTATTATGTTAGTTGCAGATACCATCAGATGAAAAACTTGAGGAATTTTGGATTGATTTTAATCTTGGAAGCCAGACTTTGTCATTCTACACTGCTGGAGATGATGATGTAAGCTCTTACTCCTTTATGTTACTCTCTATGCATGTGAAGAACGTTCTTGAAATTTACTTTCAGAATGCATGTTTGTATACTTTTTTAGCCATTTTTGATTGACATCAACATTAGCCTTTTATTTTAAAGTTGTATAATCTATCAAGCTATTTAAAATGAAAATTATTTGATTTTTTTATGATAACAAAATGAGAGCTAAATTTTAATATTTTTAACAAAACCTTTCAGAAATGAATATTAACAATACTTAATTTTTTTGGTCACATGAAAAAAATGAATCAACATTAGAAAAGACAGCTTGGAGTCTACTCAGTGGTATAGTGCTAAGTAGGCAGGAAGCCTTGGGCCACTCAGACACTCCATGGGAACATTGGCAGGTGACAACAATTGGTCTTACTCAGTCTTGAAACCTCCTGGGAGAAGTAAGGGAATTTCTATGTACAGTGGCATGTAGAAGTGAATTTTAGTTCTATGTTGTGTCTTAGCCATGTGTAGACTTTGAAAGTAGACTATTTCTTGTTCTGTTTGTTACCTGGGGAAAGGTATTAAGAGTTATTATTTCCTAGCTGTCACTTGGGATGTTTGGTACAGTGGCTCAGATGGTGTAGCCACTCCCAAATTCTGACAATTGATCAGCATAGCCTAGTCTGGTTGCTACCGCTGATATAAAGGAGACTCTGAACTTTTTATTTTTATAGTTCTACTTCCTTCACACAGAACATTTTTATAAGTGAATATTTGCCGATGCTTTTTACATTTTCATATACCTTTTAGAATACCTTCATAGACTGCTCATTTTCAGCAACTATTAGAGTATAATTATTGTAGTTATTGATTTCCTCATGATTCAGTTTGACCTAAATCTAGAAAAGAAGATAAGCAATCATACTATAGTATACATAATTAGGGAATGTATAAGTCCATCTATAAGTTGTTCAAAATACTGATTAAGATATTAAGACATTTTTTCCAGAATTACATTTTTAGTTCTTTTCTCTCGATCGCTGTAGTAGTATGTTCTTCCTGAGCTGCTTATTCTCCTAAAACCATGATCCATACAGTGGCCACTTAAACCCCTTCTTTGTCTCATTGATGTGTAGTGTAAAAGACTTTTACAGCGTTGGCAGCTGAATATCCCTCTGAGATACAGCATTCTCCTTGTTCAAACCACTGAATTTCAAATCTTACAGGCTGCTTTTACCCGAGGGGGAACCCTCTTGCAGGTCCTTGAAACCTAGTTTCTGTGATACTGTCAACACAGCCTAAAATTAGTTGGAAAGAGTTTTAATGAGAAACTATCTAGATTATGTCAGCCTGTGGTCATGTCTACAGAGGGAAAGTTGTCTTGTTAACTGATGATGGAAGACCCACATCAGGCACCATTCCCTAGGCAGGGGGGGGTTAAGGAGAGTACAGAACAAGCAAGAATCCAAGAGTTGATGTTCTGTTCTTGAATGTGGATGTGATGCTTCAAGCTCTTGCCTTGACTTCTCACAGTTATGAACTGTAACCTAGAACTGTAAGTCAAATAAACTCTTCCTTCCTTGCAATTTTGTCAAGATATTTTATCACACCAACAAAACTTCTACTAGGACAGTGCATTCCAGTTTAGTGTTTGGTAAAAACACTGTCTGCTTAAAAATGGGTTCTCTGGTCATTAAGTATAAAGTAGCCTAGTTGCCAAGTTTTGTATCACATTGTCCAATTTTTTTCCGTATAGTAATTACTAAAATTCTGTTTTCTGATTTCATAAAAGATCAAGATTTGTTTTTTTCTTGTTTATAGCTGGTAAAAGGCATATAGGGCATTAGGATTTGTTATTTTTAGAATCAATAAATGAAGTATTGAAGGACTAGAAATATGAATGTTTAGTGATAGAAGGTGTACAGGAGATGAGAAGGCTAAGTCACATAGAGTTTAACTTAAATTGATATTGAAAGAAGTTTTAAATTGGGAGTAAATATATATGTAAGACTTTTTTTCTAAATTTAAGGATCATCAATGGGAAGCAGTCACTGTGCCCGAAGAAAAGGTTCAGATGTACAACATTGAAGGTACTAAACCTGAAGCTTGTTTTTTTATAATTCTCTACTTGGTTCCTATCATAAGGCATACAAACTACAAGTTAATATGACAGATTATGAAAACTCTGTAGATACACACATCCATAAAGTCATCACATTCTTCACCCCAGTTTTCTTCATCTAAAACCACAATATTTGGTCTGATCAGTATCATGACCATGTTTTCAAGGTTCTTAGATTCCTACCCCATTTGTTTTAGTAAATCCAAACACCTTGTTTCTCGGTCCTATAAGATGAGTTAGGTAGCACTGTAGGACAAATACATGAAATCTAGCAGACTGATAAAAGGCCATATTAAATTAGGGCACATATTTATCATTTAAAATATGTATAGATATATGTATATATTACCATAGTATTAATTTGCATTTTTAATGAGCAGTAATGGTGAGTACCTTTTCTGCATGAGCTCTCTGGCTGTTTGTGTGCTTTCCCCTGTGGAGCGTCTGCTTACACACTTCTGTCTTCTGCTGAGCTGTCTGTTTATTCAATTCTGAAGTTATTGTGTATCTTAGAATACCAGTCCTCTGACAGATACATTTTGTGAACATAGTCTGTATTGTGCTTTTATTTAAGGGTAGGTTGTACAGGAAAAGAAGGCTTTTAAGTTTGAAATCTAGTTGGATCAGGTTTGTTTTGTTTTTCCTTGTTGTATAATTGTTGCTTTCTATGACCTAAGAAATCTTGGTCTATTTTTTAGTCACAGATTTTCTGTTTGACTTTGTCTTTAGTTTTTGTGTGTTAGTATGGTGAACTAAATCAAATTCATTTTTGTTTCGGTTGTCAGAAATTGTAGGTGATTTTGTGAATTTATAGCTATTCTAGGATTATTTGCTAAAATGACTTTAATTTCTTTGACTTTCTTTCTTTCCCTGGTCACATGCTGTACCATTGACTATTACCCTTGGTGATTCCTCTGTTAAGTCATCTGGCTCTGTAAGAGTAGTCTTGTTTCTTGCTGATCTTGTTTCTTGCTGATTTTGTATTTCTTAGATTTGTTTACATGTTATGACCAGTACCACAGTGTTTTCAGAATTTTATGTTCATGCTTAACAGAAACAGCTAATTTATTTTCTGAAATTGAGTTTCCAGAACCATGGCCTTTGGATTATCCATATACATTTAAAGAGGTTTTGTGTAATCATTACAGAAAACTTCCTAGAATTGTGACTGTGAATCAGAGTGAAGTACTAGAACTAGAGTTCAGACCATAGAGATGGAGTTCTTTATTTGGGTCCTGGACTTCCCTAAACAATGTTTGATATTTTTCAATATATGCCTTATAGATATTTTGATTAATTTATTTAATGGCAGAAGATACATTTAGATTTAGGAAGTATAACCATTCATTGTCCAACTCCAAAGCCAGCTTTTATTTTTAAGTAGAGATGTATATGTGTCCAAATAATCAAATTTTACTATGCAGATAATACGCCATTTTCTGATTTGCATATGTATAAAATGTACAGCTCCAGTTATTGATGAATGGAGTACAATTCAGGGAAGAATCCAAGTAGTTCTCTTTATAATGTTAATTCTATCACTTTTGAGATAATTGCTATTAATTTCTCCCCAGAAATTAGCACAAGCTCTTTGCCATGGTTCATTGTCTTCCCATATTTTTTTAATTGTGTCAACAGTAAAAGCAACTATAATCTCTGCTGGGTCTATACCTGCTAGTTGACAAAGTCTCAATTTTCCTTTTATAATTAATTTAGAGACGTTTTCTGCATAAGCTTTTAATTTTTTACTTGGTTTATGTGGTAAAAAGATCCATTCTAAGATAGTATCTTTCCTCTGCATTAAAATTCCTGTAGGGGAAATTCTGGGAAGCAATATGAGTAGAATACAATTAAGATTTATAATTTCTTTTCAATGCTCATCAATTCTTTTTCCACTTCAGCTGTTAATTCTCTGGGACTACTCAAAGGTTTTGTTTAAGTGAACTATTAAGTCAGATGTTATCCCAGTAGCCGGTCGTAGACTGGAAATATCTCCTAACAATCTTTGAAAGTCATTTAGAGTTCACAATCAGTCTCTACTAATTTGTGCCTTTTGTGTTCTAATTTTCTGTAAACCTATTTTGTAACCTTGGTAATTGACAGAAGCTCCTCTTTGTAGTTTTTTAGAAGTAACTTGTAATCCCCATTTAGGCAAAACTTTCTTCTTCAAACATTCTTCCTGCGTTTGAGTCAGATAACAACAAAATGTTTTCCATGTAATACTAAATTATAGACTTAGAAAATAGGCTTTACATATTATTTCCAATGGCTGATTTATAAAGTATTGTCTCAGGAGGGGACTACTGAGCCTTCCCTGTAGGAGAACGGTCTACTGGTATCTCCTAGTAGGCTGAACATTATTATAAGTAGCATCACAGAGGTAAGCAGGAGCATAGTGCCTCCTATAGTGCGAATTAGTTGCTATAATTTCTTGGGAGTATCAAGTATGGACACCTCATATAACTGGGACTTAAAGTATGATGTTTTTTATTGGGTTGAAAAGTTCCTTGAGGATAAAGACTATATCCTTCTCCATAATACTAAGGAAATTTTATCAAAATGTTATTAGCAATCAATATGTTGATTTACCAGAGATCTTTGTTTGTATATATGTGTGTGGTATATATGATGTATTATATATATGCTGATAACTAGAAATAATGTAATTATTAACTCAAGTTATTTTAAGAAAGCAGCTTTTTCAGGCACATTCATGGAATATTTTAAGAATTGGTTAGGGCTTGGAAACTGTTCCAGGGACCTATCTCAATGTTGAGGGCATTGTGATATAATTTATAGATGAGGACACTGAAAGTGAAATATAAATTGATTTGTTTGTGTAGTTAGAGTTGGGTAAACAATATCCAATTTAAAATGTTTGTATTTTGATTCAATTTGCTGCATATTTTATTTATAATAGTTATAGACTAGTATCATAGACATTAATTATCATTAATGTTTTCTATATACAGTAAGAGAATCAAAGAAGCTTCTGACTATAACTCTGAAAAATATAGTAAGAATTAGTAGAAAAGAAGGGAAGGAGTTACTTTTGTATTTCGATGCATCATTAGAAATCACCAATGTGACTAAAAAGATTTTTGGTGGAAATAAGTACAAGGTAAGCTTTTAAAATCTCCCTTCAACAAATAGTATTATGTTTTTACAGACTGTTTGGGACTGTTAAGTTATATTGCTTTTTCCATTGTCAGAATCTTAAAATGGCATAGATTCTTAGCTCTTTAAAATTATACTGTGAATGGCTTACAAGATGCCTCAGTGGATAAAGGCACTTTGCCACCAAGCCTGAAGACCAAAGTCTGTTCCCCAGTTTCCACCTTTGTTGGAATGAGAGAACTGGTTTGACATTGTCCTGACTGTTACATGTGCACTGTGGCACATGTACATGAACACACAACAAATAACATGATTTTAAGCAGTTCTGTAGCGTGCTTATTGGCTCATTAAGTCGTATCCTTGAGATGTCTTTATGAACTGTCTCGGGTGACAGTCATCTGGCAGTAGCTGGTGAGATCATTTGAGTCACTATGTCTTTGAAGACTAAAATGAAACATTTTCAAAATATTAAACATTTTGAGAATTAGTAGAAATGATAGAACTAAACATTTGACCTATGGAAAAATTATATAAACTGGAGAATGTCCATTGAGAGTCACAGTGCAAAGCATGATTATGGAGATGGGACTTGCAATAGCATATGGAGAAATAATAATATGGAAGACTATGTATAAGCCAGCACTCTTTAACTGAAAATATAAGGTGGCAGTTTATGGGACATTTTCGGGAGATACTCTCTTAACAATTTTGAATACATACCAGTATTCAGAAGGCAGAGGGACAGTTGGGTTATTGTGTCATTGTGAGTTAAAGACCAGCCTGAACTACCTAACAAGATTCTGTCTCAAATATGTCAAAAATATATATTCATAAGGGACCCTTAGGCAATAAAATAGAAAACTTAAGACCGGATAGTGCTAAGTAATGGATGTGTTCTTAAGTTAGACCATGTATGTATGTATAGTAATGATTTGGGGATAATTGGTGGTTGTGGGAGAAAATGGGTAGGAAATAAATGCATGAAATAAGAAGAAAATGGCATCACTTTGAATTCTGAATTTTAGGAATTTACCATAAAACAAGGTGTTTCAGTTGCCAAAACATCTATTCATATACTTTTTGATGCAATTGGATCACAGGTATGTCTCTGACTTACTTGAATTTTTTAACGCTAAATAAAATTACAGTGGTAAAGTTTATTTTAGAGAGTGATTATGTGGAAAGCAAATGGTCTAATATAAATAATTCTGTAATAAAACATTTTAGTTATAATTTCATTATAGAAGTAAAGAATTATTAAACTATAATTTACTAATTTTAAAAATAAGAACTGTAAGTGACAGAGCTTATTTGCAAAGGTGACTGTTTTGTTGGGTCATTTTGTGAAACTTAGAAAATGCCTGGTAAGGGAAGATAGTGTGAATGTGAGGGGGCAGAAGCTTTGCCAAAGTACAGTGGTTTTTGAGGGATGCATTTGTTTTGTAGTTTCTTTTTTAAGATGGAGTTTTCTGCATTTTAAATTCAGCAGATTCTAGTGCCAGAAAGTCAACCATCTCCAGTCAAAGAAGACCTTGTTCATCTAAAAGAGAAACCTAACCTTCAGAAGAGACTTGAAAATCCTCCAGCAGAGGACAACAGCAGCAAGCAGGAAGACAGACCAAGCAGCCAGGATGAGGTAAATATGGTGTTGAGTGAATTACTTTACTAAACTCCACTGCCGAAGGAAACAGAGCAAAGGTACCTAGAGTAGATAGATCCAATGTTGCCTTGATGTAACAGCATTTCAGTTTTTGTCCCATCTTTTACAAATGCAAACGGAAGCAAGTATGTTATTTAGCAAGTCATGTTTGTTATATTGTACACTTGGACATTCTAAATTGGAGATATATAGATGAGTTACTTTTTCCCACTTATGTTTTTTTTTTCCGTCATATCTTTGCTTTGGTTCTAACATAAAATACAACCGTAAACAGTCCTGAGGTTTTTTTTGTTGTTGTTGTTTTGTTTTGTTTTTTTACTTTGAGCCATCTTATTTATGTGGCAGTCTCTGAAACTTGTGTCCCCTGTATTCCCTACTTCTACTTACCAATTTCTGTTACTTTCAGTGATGTGGGGTAATTCAAACTTTTATTATAATTGGTGGCTCTGAATTCCTGTTACTTTAAATGATAGTAGATAAGGAAAAATACTGGAAAATGCTTAACAATTTGAAAGCATTCAAAGTAGTTTTAAATACCTAAATGTGCAAACATTATCTTCATGAAATGTTGGAAATCACAAGTTATTCATCAATAAATATCTATAAAATATTTTTAGCTTACAAAGGTACTATATTATGTAAGCCCAGTGATCTATAAATATTCTAAAACATTTTTGTCATTACCAAACATGAAGATAAAACCATATAAGTAAGTTAGCTTAAAACAGAGAAATTTGTGGGACATTGTAATTACTTAAAAATACTTCACATTTTGCATGTATTCAAGCAAAACTCTGTGACTAAAATTGCAGGATAGTTAATGTTTAAACAGAATATATTTTTATTGTGGCTTTTTCTTGTGGTTTAAGATAACTACACCTTACAGAAAGAAAATGTCTGAAGCATCAATGATAGTTCCCGATGCAGATAGATACACAGTGAGAAGTCCAATACTCTTAATCAACACATGTAAGTGTAAAACACTCTTAAAAGATTGTAGCAAGTATTTTAAGGGAGGAATTTTTATTCAGGGAAGTTCTGGATATAAAATTGATAAAAATATAAATCACGGTATCTTAGAAGAAAAGGCATTGACTTAAACAAATATTAAAATATTAATATTCTGTTAATTATCATAATTTAAGCAGAAGGCATTATAACATAGTGATTAGAAACTGTGTTGGAGTCATAAGGTTTCTTGGATTTCGTTCTTTACTACCAGCTTTGTACTTGACACACAGTATCCTCTAAATTCAGAATCAATTTATTTTCCAACCCGTGGAGCCAAAATACCTCATCAGTTTGGGTACAGGATTACATAAAAACCATTCATGCAACAAATAATGTTGTAAAATATTGACATATAGTACCTGGCACATTCTAGTAGTAGTTGCTCTGATGACAACTTAATAATAAGCTTCAAGTCCACAAAAATAAAAATCTTGTTACACTCTGGGTAACAGCCCTGTGCATGACAGATTTCTCAAATGAGTAGTTTCTGATTTAATAATTCTTTATCTTTCCTGATTTTTTTCTCCTTGTATTAAATGGCATAGTGTCCACTTAGTTGTTGCCAGAAACCTAGGAATGTCCTGAGAACTTCCACCTCTTACCTTCCTCATCTGAAAGTACCTCTTTAACAGCAGGAAAAATAGCTGTGTTATCTTTGTTCCTTTAGCAACGCCCCAAAGAAGTAGGGCACCACTGCAAGCAATAACTTCTGAAAAAGCTGATGTTTCTAAAACATCAGAAAGAGAAGTGGATTGTGCTGTGTCACTCAAATCTAGACAATCTGATGGAAGAAACAGATGGAATATTAGAGACAAAGTAAGGATACTTTGTGTTCAAATAAATTTTAACAAGTTATTTTAGAAATTTATACTGAGCTACCTTCTTTTCCAAGTACAATATTTAGAAAATGACATGTTTTTCTAAATACCAGTAATCTTTGAAAGGGTTCTTCTGGCATGTGCTTTCATTAAAATTCCGAAGTGCCTGTTTCACTGTACCTGAAACTTCACATATTACTAAGAAAAAGGAAGTTTCTGTCATTCTTTATTATACAAACTTGTGTCTGCTGTGAGAAGACTAATACAGAATGTGAGATTGTAGTGGAGTGTCTTTAAGTGTCTGAAAGTCTAGCATGGGGTTAGACGGATTAATACGACTGCCTTATGTATGGTTAAAGCATAGGATGCAGTAAGAACCCAATGAAGAAACAGGAGCCTAGCTCCAAAGATGAAAGCTATTAAATTAGTGTGTGCAAAAAGATGAATGGCCTTAAAGAGTTGAATAAATTACAAGCTATTGTCAAAGTAATGGTTTAAATAGTGTAGTATAAGTGTTTGTTAATAAAGTCACTATTTTTCTAATTTTGTGGCATGGTTCTGAGTATTGTGTGATGACTGGCAACCCAAAGAGGACAACTAAGGGCAAGGTAAAATATCTGCATCTAGGCAATGTACTTTGCTGATAGTGATGTTAGGGTTTTGTTTGTTGGATTGTTTTTAATCTTGATCTAGGATGAATCTGTGGCTATAGGAAGAAATATTGATTTGGGAAAAGAATTACCTGGAAAGTGCTCAAAAAATTTTAATGAGCAATTAAATTTTAATAAGTTTCAGCTCTTTGTACTTTAGTAAAAGAGAATAGGGTATGAAGTCAACAGCAACAAGACAGATATACGTGGAGATTTCAGAAATCATCATTAGTCTTAAGTGTAGTAACTCTGAGATGAGTTTAGAAAATTTGTGGGCTCTCATGTCTTCATGTCTCCAGTGAGAGTTGTGGGCTCTTCTGTCTTCATGTCTCCAGTGAGGGTTGTGGGCTCTTCTGTCTTCATGTCTCCAGTGAGAGCTGGGCTTTAGTGCATTTCAAGATCAGGCAATGATGGTCTTAAGAGTGTGTGCATAATGTTCATGAAATGTATGCCACCTAATTTTCATACAGAGGCAACCTTACATTTTCTCCAAACCTTAATGGTCTTTAAAAAGCTGAATTCATATATCTTAATGTGTATTTACATATATGTTTCCTCTGTTGATAGCATGACAAAACTACTAAAGTTGTAGAAAACAAAGAAAATGAAGACAATGAATCCCTAGACCAAACTTTCAGTAAGTACTTTTGTGGATTAATTTAAGATTAATTTTAGTCACTGTGAGTGCAGCTGCAAAAGTGTATGCATGCACACATGCATGTGTATGCAAGTGTGCACATACACGTCTGTGTGCATGCAGTTGTGTATGTATACATGTGTGCATGTGTGACTAATGCAGATGGGTGGGAGTGAAAAAGAAAAGTGAGCCTTTTTAGTCTTCCTAGCCCCAGTGGCTTTCATTAATTTGGAAAATAAGTTTATAATAACTGCCGACATTATATAAAGAAACTTCCTGGGAAGTTTGAGTCAGAGAGGGAGGAGAGCATAATCTATGTATTCTTACCTCAAATGTCCACTTATATAGGATTATATTCACACTTCATACTTCTAACTGCATGAAAAAGTGACTATTATGGTTTTGTTTTATTTAGATGAAATTGAGGACAATTTTTCTGATGTATATGCAGTGAAGAAAGTAGATGAGTCTGCGTGAGTATAAGAGAATCTATCAAACCCCTTAGTATGTATTCATATTATTTTGGGTGAATTAAATTGAACAGATTTGAAAGAAAGGCCTTCTATTATTAGAATGCAATGTCAGTCATAACATTTATTGATAGCTATGATGGAACAATAAGAAAGAAGCTGTCTTATTCTTTCCATATGAAGGAGCTGTAAGATCTTTGCAGTACTAGTTTGGAAAGTTTCCCTTAGTTTAAATTTACAATAAGATTAGGATATGAAAGATGTATTTAGGAATATAGCAGTGTAGTGACATCATGATACTTTTCTAGTATTTTTAATCTTATCAGTTATATAATTTCACATGCTATAAGTTTTACCACATTTAACAATGTTCTCAAAAAACATTGACTGTATATAAACATAATGTCTTAAAAAGTCATGCACTTGTATTTGATAATATACTGAACAAATACTATTTTTTTCTAGATTACCTGGTGTTATGGACATCTCTAAAAATACAGCACACTCCAAATGGGCATGTTGGACACCTGTAACAACCATCAAACTCTGCAATAACCAGAGAGCTCGTACTTTACCAGGACACACTTTTACCCAAGGTGAAAATAGTCTTATCTGTTAATGCAGTAGTGCTCAGGGAAACACAATAAAGTTTAGATGTTACCTATTAACTCATTCTAAAAGACTTTTTCTTATTCTTCTAGTAGACACTGATGTCAACAAAAAATGCACTAAACAAAAATCACTTGATGATTCTGAAGAAACACATAGGGTAAAATACAAGAAAGATGTATTCAAGTGTAATAATTCAGATGAAGCAGAAGTTTGTGAAAGAAACAATCAAGAACAAAATCATTCTAAACATTCACAAAAGAAAAATACTGAAAACACTAAGCAGAGTGATTGGCATATTGAATCTGAAACTACTTATAAATCAGTACTCCTAAATAAGAAAACTGAAGAATCACTCATCTATAAGAAGACATGTGTATTGTCAAAAGATGTGGATGCTACTCTTTGTGATAAAAGCCCTTCTAGAAAAAGCATGAGGAGAAGTACAAAATCAAGGAAAGAACTGACTTCTGAACTTAACTCATGTGCAATAAAAGAAATGCCAGTGGTGAGTGTTGGCTGTATTCATTTCTCACACACCCATAGAGTGCTTACTGTTAAGAGCGTCTTAACATATTGCCATAGACTTGACATGGATAATTCAGTTCCTAGATGCTTCCTTAAGTTCTTCATTTACCTCCTAACACAGCCCCTTGGAACAAGCATGTAAGTATGTGTGAATAAAACAACCCTTGATTTCTTTTTTCTCTATCCCTCTGAAAGTGTAAATTGAATTAATGTTTCACAATGCTGCTTTTCTATGAGTGGCCATGATTTTCAGCCTCACCTCATGCCTAAAGTGACAAGGCCAAAGGGACTGTGAACTACAGTCTCTGAAATCATGAGGAAAAAACATAACTCTTACTCTTTTAAGTTCTCTCAAGTATTTATTATGTCAAAAATGTAACATAACATATTTTCTAAGTTAGGTTTCTTTAAATCAGCTTGCTATTTTTTCCTAATAGCACTCTTTCCTGTGTCGTTACACAGCATTTCCTGCCCTTTCTGTGGTGGATCAGTCTCCTATAGTCATCTGTCTGACTGCCTTCTGTTTATTAGATCTGCACAGAACAGTAGCACCTCTGTAATTCAGTAAGACTCAAGGCTCTCCTGTTCTGGAAGATCTGAAGTCATACACTGTTTTCAGGGAGATTCAGTTTTGTCACATTTTATTAAGCCGGTAACACATCTTCTGTCAAGAAGGGATAGTGATAACTTCCTTTATTTATACAAACACAGACTTTAAAATGATTAACATACTTTTTATTAGTTTTTAAATACATAGAGTTGAACCCAGAAAGAAATATAAAATGAACAGACCTTAGCTATTTAAGTACTGTTAGAATTTTAAAAACTAACACCTTCACAACTGTTCAGTCCCATGGAGGCTCCACAACTGCTGTTAAAGTTCATGAGTTTTCTCCATCATGATCTTGACCTCCCTTCCTTGCATTTTCCCTCTTACCTCTCTTTGACTGGATTCCCAGAGTTTGGTCTGGTACTCGGTTGTGGATCTCAGCATCAGTACCATCAGTTACTGGATGAAGGCTCTGTGATGACAGTTGGGATATTCACAATCTGATTACTGGGGAAGGCCAGTTCAGGCTCCCTCTCCACTATTGCTAGGAGTCTTAACTGGCATCGTCTTGTAGATTCTTGGGAATTTCCTAGCACCAGGTTTCTTCCTAACCCCATGGTGGCTCTCTATCAAGATATCTCTTTCATTGCTCTCCCACTTCACCCCTCCCCTCCTCGACTATCACATTCCCTTGTGTTGTCATCCCCCATCCCCTCCCCTCTACCGCCCTCCTTCACCCCCAGTTTATCCAGGAAATCTCAAAATTTCTCTTCCCAGAGTGATCCATGTGTCCCTCTTAGGGTCCTCCTTGTTACCTAGCCTCTCTGAGTCTGTGGATTGTAGCCTGGTCACCCTTTCCTTTTCATTTAGTATCCACTTATGAGTGAGTTCATACCATGTTTGTCTTTCTGAGTATGGGTTACATTCATTCAGGATGGTTTTTTCTAGTTCCATTCATTTGTCTGCAAATTTCATAATATCATTGTTTTTTAAAGCTGAGTAATAACTCCATTTTGTCAATGTACCATATTTTCTTTATCCATTCTTCAGTTGAGCAGCATCCAGGTTGTTTCCAGGTGTCCCAGTTAGTAGGACCAGGCTGTATCCCCTGGTGCATGAGCTAGCTCATTGCAACCCATTCCCTGTGGTGGGATGCCTTGCTCACTCAGCCTTAATGCAGGGGGAAGGGGCTTAGTTCTGTCTCAACTTAATGTGCCAGACTCCCCCTGGGAGCTCTTACCCTTTGGGAGGAGTGAATGGGGGGAGTGGGTTCGGGGGAAGCCAATGGGAGCAGGTGGAGAGGGAGGAGGGAGAACTGTGGTTAAAATGTGAAATTAAAAAAAAATTCTCAAATACAGTGGTGATAATTCTTTGTAGTCTTAATTTTTCAGCAATTTTCCTAGACACTCATTTTGGAAACGTTTTATGGTTACAGTGAATGAGTAAGAGATTTCTAATAGACTCTTGTTTCCATTTCCCTTTAATAACATCTTAAATGGTACACTTTATAGAGATGTGGCATTATTAATTCATGTCTGTAGTTTATATTAAGATTTGCATTATACATTGTTGTGCTTTTATACCATCAAGAGATTGAATTTTTTCCATTGTTGAAGAATTCTTGTTTTTTCTACCTATTCCTGATGACTGGATCACATTGTTTGCATATTTAGAGTTTATCAAAAAGTCTTCTAAAGCAATAGTATTAGTTTGCATCTGTATCAGCAATTAGCATTATGCTACATGCTTGCTAGTAACTTAGTGCTATCAGGAATTTTCGTTTTAGTATGGAGTGGTTTTCAGTTGAAATTTTTTAAAGTCATGATTTAGAGGAGCTTTCATTGTTTTTTTTTTTTTGCCATTCTATGTGTTTGGCATGTTAAGATTCTATAGGAAAAGGTACTGCCAAACACAATTCATGTAGATTATCTTACATGGCGTCTTTTATTGTTCTGTGGTTTACAATTAGGTCTGTCATCTATTTTAACTGTTTGTGCGGAGCAAAGGTTCTGTTTACTATATGCTTCAGTGTGTTCTAGCATAATATTATATAGTGAGGACAAAACTGTGACTGCTCCAAGGTATGGTGGAGGGGAAGGTTTTATTTGTAGATACAAGGGAGAGTACAGTCAGAGACATCTGGAAATCTTAGAGCAGGAAGAGAAAGGGGTAGAACAAACATGGCTTTGAGAAAAGGGGGAGGAGGGGGAGAGAGGAAAAAAAAGAAGACTTTAAAAAGAGCAAAGAGTGGGCCAAGGGTGTATGGCCTAAATGTCAGCAGTGTTTTAGGGTAGAGGCTAGGGTGAGAAGAGCTAAGACAAGACACAAGCACTGACTGAATGAGCCTGGAGGCCACCATGGTCTTTAGGCACCACAGTTAGCCAGTTTCTTTTGGATCTTATACTAGTGAAAAAGACTGTCTAATTCTCTGAACTGGTTTTTGTTTTTGGTCTTTTTTTCCCCACTCTATTTTGTGTTGAGGGGAATCTAATTCTAGGTTCTTGATGCTGTGGTATTGATCTTTTGCATGTGTTGGCATTTCAGTCCTGTCTGGACTGCAAGTTTTAATAGTCTGGAAATAAAGCAATATGGAAATAAAGCAATGTCAGTTTTCCCTTTTGCCTATTGCTATCATTAGCTTTTGAGGTTGAGTTTATTTCTTTAACACAAAATAGCTTGCTGGGATTACATTAAAGCCATGAAGTTAAGTCTCAACTTTGACAATACTCTATAAAATGTATATGGAATATCTTTTGGATTTTCTTGGATTTTTTTTAATCAGAGTCATGTAGTATTTCTCTTGTGTAAGTATTGACTTTTGTTTTAATTTTGCATCTTTCCACTTTACTGTTTGTTAGTTTTTACGAGTTTTATTGTATATTTTTAGGAGTTTTTGTAAATATTAAGATTATCTATGAAATTTTAATTCTTTCATTGCTTATTGTTGAGTTATCTAGGCTTCCATTATGACTTTTTTTAATTTATAAAAGATTTCTGCCTCCTCCCCGCCACCACCTCCCATTTCCCTCCCCCTCCCCCATCAGCTCCATTATGATTTTTAAAACCAAGCGATGAGAGGTAAAATCTTCTCATTTAAAAAAGATCTAGCTTCTCACCATTAAGTTTGACGATAGCTATAACTTGTTTTGTAATTTTGAAGTTTTAAAAAACAAGTGTTTAAGTATTTTGCCTGCATGTATGAATATGACCACATACATGCACTGTCCTTGAAGGTCAGAAAAAGGTGTGTAATCCCTGGAACTAGGCTTATACATGGTTGTGATGTGCCATGTGCTTGCTTTGAACTGAACCCAGGTCCTCAGAAAGAGCAACTAGTGCTCTTAACTGTGAGTCATGTCTCAGCTTCCATAATTATTTTAAATAGATGTTAACTTTTCTTTCATTGTGATCCAAATACCTGAGGAAGAGACTTGTAGAGGCTTATCTTCCTAGATAGTTTAAAAGCCATAAATAAAGGACATTGAGCCTATAATTCATGTTCCTAGAGAAGCTAAATAAGGTGAATCCAAAGACAAACACATAGGCATCCTCAGGAATATTAACCTTCATCAGGCGATGAAAGGAGACAGAGACAGAGACCCACACGGGAGCACCGGACAGAAATCTCAAGGTCCAAATCAGGAGCAGAAGGAGACAGAGCACGAGCAAGGAACTCAGGACCACGAGGGGTGCACCCACACACTAAGACAATGGGGATGTTCTATTGGGATCTCACCAAGGCCAGCTGGCCTAGGTCTGAAAAAGCATGGGATAAATCCGGACTAGCTGAACATAGCGGACAATGAGGAATACTGTGAATTCAAGAACAATTGCAGTGGGTTTTTGATCCTACTGCACGTACTGGCTTTGTGGGAGCCTAGGCAGTTTGAATGCTCACCTTACGAGACCTGGATAGAGGTGGGCAGTTTTTGGGCTTCCCACAGGTCAGGGAACCCTGATTGCTCTTCGAGCAGATGAGGTGGGGGGGACTTGATCGGGGGAGGGGGAGGGAAATGGGAAGCGGTTGTGGGGACGAGGCAGAAATCCTTAATAAATAAATTTAAAAAAAAAAAGACAGTCTGTGGTCTCTTAAGCAGAGAACACATGGTATTACAAAGCTATTTGCCTCATAGTGGCCAAGAAGGAGAACGAAAAGGAAAGGGCTGAGGACAAGTTATACCCATCAAAGGTTTATCCCTGGGTGATTTCCTTTTTACATCAAGGCATCCCCTACCTCCTAATCCATTCAACTATGAACTTATCAATAAAGTAATCCATTGATGAGGTTAACACCACTCTCAGGAGTGTCACTAGCTGGGGCCAAGCCTTCAACACATGAGCCTTTCAGGAGGGTGTTTCATGTGTACACTACAATATGTGAGTCATATCTAGATGTGCAAATCCCCTTCTCTTGTTAATTTGCTGAGGTTATTTATTTATTTAAGTTTTAAATCATCCTAAGATGCTTCATGTGTATCTGTTGATAGGACTTTCCTCCCTCAGGCTGAGGTGAGAGATGATAGGCATTGAGCTTTAAAAGTTGACACAGTCTTGCATACCAGGAGTAAGTACTACTTGTTTCTGGTGTGCAGTTCTTTTCTGACATTATTGGATTTGATTTGCTAGCTACTGGCTAGTTTTCCTGTTTTTGTGATGTTTTGTTCTGTGCCTTCTAGGATATATTAGGGAGAAATTTATATAATTTCTTTCTTAAATGGCCTCACTAGTAAACCCACCTGGGTCTGCTGGTGCCTTTTGTTTTGTAAGGTTAACCATTGATTGGATCCATAAATATAGGTGTTTTCAAATAATCCCATTTCTCTTTGAGTTTTTAAAAATTGCATCATTTGGGGAATTATTCCTTCTTGTTACCAGTGTTATGGACATGGAGCTCAATAATTATCCTAATGTGCTTGTGATTAAAAGCGATGGCCTCTTTATTACTGGTGTTAGCAATTTACATCCTTTTGTTTTAATCCTTAGTTAACTTTGCTGTAATGTTGCCAGTTTTACTGATCTTTTCAAAAGAACTCTTTTCCCTTAAGTATCTTATTTTCATGTATAATAACATTTAAAAATATGTAAGAAGCATTCAACATAGCTCTCTGTATATGGAATGATTTTGATTGCTGTATAAAGTCTAGACTTTAGATAATTTCTGACCACTCATTGTTTTGTAGGTCTCTGTAGAATCAGATTTCCTAAACGTTCTTTCAGCATTTATTTTCCCTTAAAAGTTAGGTAATAGTTTTAAAGTAATTTATAATTGTTTCAGAGAGAGAAGTCAAAAGGGAAAGGATTTACTGATGCAGCAGAATCCTTGATAAGCCAAATTAATAAGAGATACAACCCAAATGATGGCATGAAGTCTACAAGAAAATTAAAGGAATCTCTGAATTGCAGGTATATTCATAAATTGAGACAAGTATTTTTGACAGCTGCAACTAAATTGGCTTGCATAGTATGGGAAATGTTTTATGGACATGTTTTGGATAATGTCACTTTCTAGTAGAAATTAACTGTGTTAACTAATTCTTGTTTGATATTTTAAGAATCAGCTTTTAAAAATATTACGATTTATGAGCTGTGAGACTATTCATTCACATTTCAATTCACTCTAATCTTATACAATAATAAAGTATTTTCCTGCATATAACATTTTCCTACTAATAATTTTTATCAATGGTAGCTATTTAAATTATATAACATAGAGCATTCCAGTGCTGTATTATACTATATATATAAAGTATCATACATTATGAAACAGTACAGTGTGGCATTCAGAGAGAAATCTGCAAGATATAAACATCTTAGGATTTTTATTTATGGAACCTAGTAATGACTAAAGCTAAGTGTGCTAAAAATGCATTTCTTAATGAAGTACAGGGTGTGTCTGTGAGCTGAAATAACTGTGTTAACTAATAATTCTTGTTTGATATTTTAAGAATCAGCTTTTAAAAATATTAGAATTTATGAGCTGTGAGAATGTTCATTCACATTTCAATTCACTCTAATCCTATACAATAATAAAGTATTTTCCTGCATAACTATACCTTTTACAGTGTTTAGCACTTCCTTTTATATTATTGATACAACTTAGATTTTACTGTAATAGTTACAGTTTACTGTGAGATTGTAAAACTATCAGACTAATTAGAGTTTTCATTTTAGGTTTGTGTTGGTAGCCATTTTTTGGCATAGTTAATGTTAATATGTTTTAGTATATATTGATTGTATTTATGAAGAATATTTTGCTGTTATTAAGTGCTCCTTAAATACTGTATCTTTTTTAATAGTGATTTGTCAAAGAAATCTGACCTACAATTCAATAAGGTATGTGCTACTTAACTTAACCAAACTCTACATAGTCATACTTAATATTTGATTATAAGCACTAAAATATTAATAAAAATGGTATTAGATTTAAAGTCACAGAATACTGAAATGAATTGTAACACTATAACACTGACAAATTTAGTCACAAGTTACTTTCTGTTTTTCAAAGAAAATGTTATTTTTAAGCTGGGCCACATGGTGCACTCCAGTAATTTCAGTTACCCAGAAAGCTAAGGCCAGGGGGATTGCAAGTACAGGACCTGCCTAGGTGACTTTTCCTGAGACCTTGTCTTAAAAGTTGGCAACTAAGATTATCACCTCAGTGGTGGCTAGCACTTGCCTACCATTCCTGAGACACTAGGTGCATCCCCTAAACCACGAAAATAGTTTCAAATATGGATCCTACTACATTCACCTTTGGGTCCATGGTTTTTAGTCTACATTCAGTCTATCACAGCCTCTTGTCTGTGGATGTGGTTCTGTCTTCCTAGCTTATTCTATCTTGTCCTGACAAATACTAAAATCTTGATTTTGTTAAAATATTTACTGTTTACACAGGCTTAAAATACAGATCTTGGATTTATCATTTATAATTTTAGTTTTTGTTGTTTACATGTTTACTTAATTTATCAAATATCAAGGATCTGATCTCTGATTCTTATTATTGCTACTCTGGTGTAATTTTTTCTGCCTTATAGGATGTTTGTGCTAATCCTTTCATTACATTTAAATACTAACTTGTTTACTTTTTAAAATATACATGTTCTGTTCTTGTTCAGAAACCTACTTTAGTCTCTGCAAAGTGAAGACATAAAATGGCTTGCTAGTTTCTTCTAAAAAGAATTCTCCATTGTGTAAATGTACCACATTTTCCTTATCCTTTAAGACAATTATCACATGTACTCACTCATGTTTTTTAAACATAAAGCAAAGAAAACAAGCCCACAAATCACAATCTCAGAGAACCTAGACAACAATGAGGACCCTAAGAGAGATGTATGTAGATCTAATCTACATGAGAAGTAGAAAAAGACAAGATCTCCTGAGTAAATTAGGAACATGGGGACAGTGGGAGAGGGTTGAAGGGAGAGGGGAGGGGGAGAGGCAGAGAGGGGAGCAGAGAAAAATGTAGAGCTCAATAAAAAAATCTTTGGAAGACAATGGTTTTCTTGAAATTTTTATTCAGTTGACTCATTTTTATTGAGAAAAATGTTAAAAATGCTAGATTTATATTACTGAGAGCACAACTAGGAAATGTGTCACAATTTAAAACTTTTACACTTGTGACCTGTCTGATGCAGTTAGTAATCTCATATCTAAATGTTTTTATGTGAACTTTTCTATTTTTGAAAAGGTTCAGAGAAAAAGTTACAGAAAACTGAAGACGACTTTTGTTAATGTTACTTCCAGATGTCCGCTGTAAGTTTTCTTAAGTGTTTATTTGAAGAAACTAAATTTCTTTATGTAGTTGATACTAACAGTAGTCTTTTGTTTTCCCCAGGAATGATGTATATAATTTCAGCTTGAATGGCACTGATGAACCTGTCATAAAACTTGGCGTAAGCTGGAAATCACTGACTTAGTTCTTAGTTCTTCTGTAGTCATTTTGCAGCTGTTATGCAGTTATATTTGAGATGCCATCCTGAGATAGAGATACAATGTTTAAAATATTAAATGGTTTATTGGTATAGCAAGCATAGGTATATCTAGGTAGTGTTCCCCCTGATTTAAAAAAAAAAACCATAAGACAAATGAATGACTGAGGCATTATACTGCTTTAGACTTGTTCTTTAAAGAAAACTGTGCTGTTTGAATGCATTAATAAGAAACTCTAAGTCACCAAAAATGTGGTGTTCCATTAACAAAAGAAACCAAAGCCCTCCCTGTTGCTTAAATAAGAGCAAACCTCAATTTAAGTTCTTTGCTTTGTTCTCCCTATGTATTCCATCTCCCTCTATCTGTTGTATGAGTCTGAATCCTTGCCTGCCTGACGGTTGTCTTGTGAATCTGTCCGTCTTTGTCTCTCTGTGTGTCTGTGTCCTTTAACACAAGGCTTTTGTCTGCATATATTGAACAGCACAGAAAGCTTCATATGGGGAAGGAATGAGGGATATTTTGCAGAATCTGTAAGAGTTTGACAAGGGGTTCAGTTACTTAGTTCAACTGACCCCAAAAACATTATTGTTAACAAGATGTTATGTTCAGTGTTTGTGGTGGATATTTTATGATATTGCTTTCAACCTTTATTTTTGCTGTCTTCACCAAATGTTAGAGTATTCATGCATTATTCTGGGTTAGGGTCATGGCAGGGTACATAAGATTACAGCTATACCTTACTTAGGTTGGTGAAGTTGGTTACATGGGAAATCTAAGGCAATAAGGCAATAATTTCTAAAACAAATCTAATGCAAAAAATTACATTATTCTCTTAAAGGCTGGTAAAAAAAATTGAGTATGCTATAGGTTAACAGTCCCAAGTGACATCAGTGTGTATTAATTGTAACAGTGAGGTCTAGCAAGTGTTCTAGTTTCTTAGAATGTAAGAGATTTTTACCATAATGTATTGTCACAGAAAAGCACTGGTCCTCACTGTGATAATACATTCTCATTTCTTTTACTATCAGTCTACTTTTATGGATTTGGTTTAGCTTTAATCAATACTATGGAAAGTCGATTTGAATAACAATTCTTGTTCTCTGAAGTTGGAGAAACTAGATTTTGATATGTTCATTTTTTCTTTACATTTCACTTATTTTAACATAGTATTTTTCTTTCTTCTTCCTGTTTATTTCCATATAGATCCAAGAATTTCAAGCTACAGCTAGAGAAGCCAGTATGGAGAAATCAGTAAAGTACGTTTCCTTAAGACTATAAATCAGTAGGTCACATTGACATTTACTGTCTTTAAAGAAAAATCTTCCCTAATCTGAGTTTTTGACATATGAAAGGAGTAGATTAAAATTCTACAGTCATGATTACTCTAGCTGTGATTATTACTCCAGCACTTATTTCTAAATTCAATATGGAAAAATCGGTAATTTGAATATTATCACTTTGATCCATAGAATTGAAAAATGTTTATTTGAACTTATTTTTAAACAATGGATCAGAAATGGTAATCTGGCATAATTACACAATTTAGTGATATAAATTAGGGAAAGAGTTAAATTTGAAAACTTAGAAGTAAAAAAAAACTTAGAAATAATTTCCCAGTGAGCTTTGTCTTTTTTTTAATATTTATTTATTATGTATACAACAATCTGCCTCCATGTATGCCCGCATGCCAGAGGAGGGCGCCAGATCTCATTACAGATGGTTGTGAGCCACCATGTTGTTGCTGGGAATTGAACTCAGGACCTCTGGAACAGCAGCCAGTGCTCTTAACCACTGAGCCATCTCTCCAGCCCCGTCTAAAGAAAACAGTTGTGATATAGTTTTTAAATTAATGCATATTTTTGTTTCTCTCCAGGCTAGGTGTAAGGAATCATGATGAACATGACTCTCCTTTCAAAACAAAAAATAAAAGAGTAAGTTATAACATGTGATATATGCCAATATAAACCAGTGTTTCTTGGGCTAGAGAGGAAGTTCAGCTCAGTGATTAAGAGTGCTTGGTACTCTTCAGAGGACCTGAGTGCGGTTCCCACCTTCCACATTGGAAAGTTCACAAACCCTCTGTACCTCCATTTCCATAGGGTCTGACAATCTCTTCTGGCCTCTGCAGACGCCTGCCACATGTGGCTTAACACACACATAGGTACACAGACATCACATACATAAAAATACATCTTTAAAGGAGTATTTCTTTTAATAATATTTTAATGCTGGAGGTGATTGAAATAGAAAATAAAGTACATGTTGGTGTTTAAAAAATACTCAAAGGCTGGAGGGATGGCTCAGAGGTTGAGAAATATACTGGCTATTCTTCCAGAGGACCCAAGTTCCATTCCTAGCACCTATAAAAGGAGCTTACAACCATCTGTAATTCTAGTTGCACTTACATGTATTCAGGCAAAATAGTTCACGTTCAGAGTGAAATTTTGTTACTGTGTTTGGCTCCTGAATTGAATATTTCATCTGAAGTAGGTAAGTACAGTATTACACATACATGGAATAATGAAGGAAGCTTTGCCCTTCAATCCAATGAACATGGCTAATTCTGGAGATTGCCATATGACAACTTTAAAACAGAAATATGGGTAGCTCTGTCAAATTGTTATGGATTAAGGATCTTTATTGTGTATTATTTTGGTGGATATAAAATAAAAACCTAAAACTGAAATAGAAGGTTTAAAGCCTAGCTATGCATTGCTGTTGTTGGAATTAGGGCTTGTTGTGAAGTGAGACAACCTAAAACTGTTGTACAGTATGACCCTGCTCCATCTGCTTAACTTTCTTATTCCACTGTCAAAGTGTCATTGAATTTTGAGAAACAATCTGAAATTTTTGTGGATATAAAACCATGATACGAATTGTTAGCTCTTCAGATGGCTTTGATTCTAGTATTGGAAGCACTAGTGGAGGTAATTGTATGAGAGGTTAACAATTGGATGGATGTACGTGTGAGGGGAAATGATACTGAAAAATAGAGTAGAATAGTATGATACATTCAGGTTATCATAAAAATTATTCCATTCAAGAAAAAGCCCAAGGAATCTATAGGAGGAAAAAGCATACCCAATAAACTGGAGGGAATAACAGAGGTATGAATTTGAGGCTATAAGGATTTTTCACCTTCAAATCATGAAGATGAGTAAGGAACAAATCATAACTTACCTTTAGCTATATGTTTGAGAATTTCTCCCAGACCCTGAATCCAAAGCACAGAGGATGGCGACCATTAAAGTAACACTGAAAGGTTTAAGGAGTCTGGAGCAGGAAACCTCTGGTCATAGCTGTTAAGATTGAGCAAGTCCAAGTGTTAATAAAGTCTGTCTCCAAACCCTCTTTACTCCACCTTCACAACCTACATAGTGAAAGAGCCAAACTATACAAAATAAAGTCAGACTTCTTTTTCTTCTAAGTCTGCATCTGATATTGACAACAACTTTATGCTTTCAAAGTCAACTGCCAAGAATATTGAGCCCATTGACAAATACAGTGAAAGAATGTAATGTAATCGTTCAGATTTGTCTTCATTTGTTGACAATCTGACCAAACTAGTGTGGATACACTAAAGGGATGGAATAGAAGAGGAACCTGAAGGTAGACATGCTGGCCCAAAGAAATGACATGTAATTTGCATAAAAACAAAAAAGATACAAAGAAAAACAGATAAAATGGAATTACTAAGAGAGTAGCAATGCCTTGATTTTCCAAAAGATCATTCAGTCTTCAACCTTCCCACAAACTGATATTTATAGTTCACTTAATGCAGAATATAGATTATTAAGGATATATACTGACACTCGTGCTCCCTTAGCAGGGGATGAAATGAGAAAATTTTAAGTTATTTTAATAGTTACAAAAATGTTCTAAACTATTTTGGAAAATGGCCTTGATCTGTACCTTCAAGTTTAAGACCTGGGAAACAGCATTTTGAAAACCATGATTGAGAAGAATGACATAGACAATCTTATGACAACTCTGTGTGGAGGCTGAGAGTTTTAAATTTTTTCTTATATTTTTCATGCAGTTTGAGTGTAAAAGTGAAAAAGGTCATTTATGTTACTAAATATATACCCCACTAGAAAATGACTTAGAGATGGTGAAAACTAAGACTGCTGTGTCATTCTTTGTGTGAAAGAATGGTGGAAATGAGGACTTTGATTAATTCAGTATTGACTTTGTTCACTGCATCATTTCTCTGACTAATCATGGACAGTATGAGAAATAAAATTGCATTTATTGACAAATCATGGAATACTTTAAAAAATTATATTCAAGGATTATAGTCTAGTTATCCTTTGCTTTACATCTAGTATCCATTTATGAGGGAATACGTGCTGTGTTTATCTTTGAGTCACTCGGGATGATTTTTTTTCTACTTCCATCCGTTTGCCTGCATACTTTATGATATCATTCTTTTTACTGCTGAGTAATGTTCCATTGTGTAAATGTACGACATTTCTTTATCCGTTCTTCAGTTGAAGGACATTCAGGTTGTTTCTGGATTCGGACTCTTACAAATAATGCTGCTATGAACATAGTTGAGCAGGTGTCCTTGTGGTATGATTTAAGCATCCTTTGGGGATATGCCCAAAAGTAGTATCACTGGGTCTTGAGGCAGATTGAGTCCCAATTTTCTGATAAGTGCTGTACTGATTTCCAAAGTAGCTGTGCAAGTTTGCAGTCCCATCAGCAGTGGAGGAGTGTTCCCTTTACTCCACATTCTTTCCAGCATAAGCTGTTCTTGGTATCTTTTTGATCCTAGCCATTCTGGCAGGTGGAAGATGGTATTTCAGAATCATTTTGATTTGTATTTCCCTGATGATTAAGGATGTTGAACAGTTCCTTAAATGTCTTTCAGCCATTTGAGATTCTTCTGTTGAGAATTCTGTTAGATCTGTACCCCTTTCTTTTGGAATCCAGTCAAAGAGAGGGAGGAGGGATTATATGTCCTAGGGAGATCAAGATCATGACAGGAAAAAAATCTACAGAGACGACTGAACCAAACTCTTCGTGGGAACTCATGAACTTTAGACTGACAGCTGTAGAGCCAGATGGAACAGAACCTAGGCCCTCTGTTATGTAGGAGATAGTTGTATAGCTTGGTCTATCTGAAAGGCCCCTGTCAGTGGAACCAGGATCTATTCCTGGTACATGAGCTAGCTTGTTGAATCCATTCCCTATGGTGGGATGCCATGCTCAACCTTGAGGTAGGGGAGAGGGGCTTGGCCCTGCCTCAATTTAATGTGCCAGGTTTTATTGACTTCCCATGGGAGGCCTTACCCTTTGGGAGGAATGGATGGGGGTTGTTTTTGGGGTGATAGGCAAGGGCAGCAGGAGGAGGTGTAGGAAGGGGAACTGTGGTTGAAATGTAAAAGGAATAAAAAAATATATCCAGGGATGCACCAAGTGATAGAACTTTTACCTGACATATAAAAGGCACTGAGTTTTTGAACCCTTACCAGTGCTAAAAAAGCAAGCAACAGAAAAATTGGCAAAGCCACCAGCATTTAGTTTGTTTGGATATTTGGGCATTGCGATACTGTTTGACATGTACTAAGGCATGTTTGTTGGCTTTCTCTCTAGATGTCAGCAAGTCATGAGAAAACACTCTTCAGTGACACTGAAACAGAATGTGGGTGTGATGACAGCAAGACTGACATTAGCTGGCTAAGAGAGTCAAAATCAAAAAGACTAATGGATTACAGTAGAAATAAAAATGCGAAGAAATACAAAAGTAGAAAATCAAGTAAGAAATTAATTTTTAGAGAAATAGTGTAAATAATTATATTCAGTTATATAAAATACTCTATTGAAATGCATGATAACTTGATAATCCTAAGTCTATTGCTTGATAATCATAAGTTTCTTATAGATTCTTGCTTGTTTATTTCTTTTTTTATCATTTATACTTTATTATTAACAGGCCCTTATAAGTAGGACAAAACATATACTAATTGTTTCATTGTTTTGCTAATGGTTATATTTGTATGGGTGGGCAAGAGAGAAAGAAGGTAGGATGGCGGAAAGGCATAGGAAGAACTGCCAGAGGTTGATGCTGGCTGTCTTGATTGCTCTCTACATTACATTTTGAGAGAGAGTTTCTCAGCTTGAAGCTTGGCAGGCAGTTCAGCTGAAATGACTGACAGGCCAGCAAGACGCAGTGATCTTCCTGTGTTTGGTTTGCCTGTGCTGTGATTATAATTGTAAACTGCCTTGCCTGCCTTTTACATTGGTTGTTGGAGATCCAAACTCAGGTCTTATATTTTCATTTAAATAAGATTCCACATACATACAAATGTGACTTACCGTAATTCTTGATTCATTACATATTATCATTGCTTATTTTATTCATGGATAACTATTACTCAGTATGTAGCTGATGTTCATGAACAATATTAATATTCTTAAACAGAATAAAAAATTGGTCCCTGACACATCTAATTACTGCTATTTATGCTCTGTGTGTTTCTGTATCATTTCTCTGCCTTATCCAACACATACACTGGTGTGGGAGGTCCTTCTATGTGATGCTTTTATTGTTTAATGTGGTGATAGTGGTCTAAAATTCTGCAATCAATAAAAATACAAAATTTTTATGGCAATTATTTTGTTGAAATGATTAGATGGTAAGTTAACATGCATTATAGGACTCTTCTTGTAAATAAGATTTGCTTCACTAGTTTCACTTGTTTTTAGCTCCCAAAGAATTATAAAAAGATGGCTGACATTATGCTTGAAATGAAAGAAGCAACTAGGCCTAAAGCTATTAGTAATGTGGTGACCTTTCAGGGGTTCTTGGTGCATCAAACCACATTAGTCTGGAAAAATTTCATAGGTTTTTATCCTCTGTGGAAACAAAAGAAGAACCTCTTTTCCAAAGCAACAAATCCTTAGAACCAAATTTTGAAGACAAGATACCTTTAAAGTATGTATATTGGTTACTTAGCTCTCTCACAGTCAAAAAATTCAAAGTAAACATACTGTTTATGACTCTCTATACTCCTTTTTTCTCTCTCCCAAACCTACGCACCTTTTTAAACACACTGTGTATCATTTAGAGGTCTTTTTCATCTGAATTTGTCTTTATTGCATATCTGTAATTATTCTGACCAGAAGCACTTCTTAAGAATCTGAGCTGCATCATTGTTAGGGTGTATATGGCCCTGCCTGCTAGCTTCACACAGTCCAGCATGGTGGAGGAAGGCCATTCACTGCCTCGAGCCATGCACATGGTCCCAGTTCCAAGTATACAGTGGGTCTATGATGAGCCATTAAGCAGTTTGTAACATGCTGCTTATTTAGATGCTCGGCCTCCTGAAAGAGCTAGAGGTCACACTGGTAGCATCGCCCAGAAAGCTGGCATTTTTTTTCTGCTGCTGCTGAATCAGGAAAACCTCTCTTAAAGGAGCCATGCCTCTGCTTGCTTCTAGCAAATAGAACCCATCCAAGAAAATGCCAATACCAAACCATGCTTAACTCTGTTCCTTTGTGTCTAGGATTCTCTTTCAAGCTTTCTCAGGTTTTACATGGATATAGTCCATTCACCATGTTGGCGTGCCAATTTGTTATTGGAGGCTGCTTGTTGGTTTCCAGCTGCTCAGCCCTAAAATAATTACATAGAAACTATATTATTTAAAATACAAATTGGCCCATTAGCTCTAGCTTTTTATTGGATAACACTTATATCTTAATTTAACTCATTTCTAGTAATCTGTGTATCGCCACATGGCAGTGGCTTACCGGGTAAAGTTCTGGCATCTCTCTCCAGCAGCTACATGGCTTCTTTCTAACTCTTCCTTCTTTCTCCCAGCATTCAGTTTAGTTTTCCCCATCTACCTCTATTTCCCGTGCAGTCCCAAGACAGTTTCTTTATTAACAAATGTTATTCACAGAATACAGAGGGAATCCCATATCAGGGTGAGGGGCTTCTTATTTTATGATTTTAAATTTATTCTTGCAGAAATGTTATGACTATTTTATCTATTGAAAATTTTAATCTTATTTTCCTGAATTTTGCAGGGTCATCCTTGGAAAGGGGGCAGCCAAGATCCATAATGGTAATCAAGAGACAAAATACCATTTAGAGACCATTATAGCAATAACACATGCCTTCATTTTTTTTTACCTGTTTCCATAGCTGGTCCTTGACCTTGCCTTTGCATTATTTTATCATGCATTCTATTTTTAATAGTGTCTTGGAGTATGCATGTATATCTATGTGTACGTGTATGTGTTCTGCATGCATGCACCTGTGTGTGGATATATACTACTTGTGCCAGTATATGTGGAGGCTAAAGGTTAACAATATTGGGATGCTCTCTTTGATCACTTCTCCACATTTTACTAAGCCTAGAGTTCACCATTTTGATTGAAATGTCTGATCAATGAGCTCATGAAATCTGCCTGTCTATATGTCCTAGCTGGCTAGTGACCACAGGGATTCACCTGTCTGCCTCCCCAGTACTGGGATTATAAGAACTGACCCTTGTGCTTGGCTTGTTTATATTTTTTCTGAATATTTGAACTCAGGTCTCTGTGTTTATGCAGCAAGTACTTTACTGGGTATACTCCCTCACGTACGTACATACGTGTGTGTGTGTGTGTGTGTGTGTGTGTGTAACTTTGGAAAGTATTTCTCTTAGAGATTGCATGGTTGAAATAAAACAATGATAGATGACAAGAATGGTAGTTTTTTCAATCAAGAATCATTTCATTCCTACATATATTTTGTGTGTAGCTGCCAATGTTGCATTTTTATCACAAATAGCTTATATTTCTGATACCTCTATTACTGATATTATAATATTCATGAAATATTCTCCTAAAGGCACGCAATAAAAACATTACCAAAAAGGATGATGAAATAGTTGTAGATCAGAGAACCAGACTTCCACGAAGGGCAACAAAAACAAAAAAAAATTATAAAGATCTCTCAACTTCAGAATCAGAGAGTGAAAAAGAATTTTCATATATACTTAAAGATAAACTGCTGACAAAGGTAAATCAATATAATTAAAATTGATAATCTCTAAATTTAATTTTCTTAACCTACTAAATTTTTTATGTATGCATATAGTACTACTTACAGCAGACCCATTGCTAGTCTTACAGATTTATCTTAAAATCTAATATTGTAACAGGAAGAGGGCCCGCTTGTTCATATCGGCCGCCCAGCTAGCTTAGCCCTGAAATAACTACACAGAAACTGTATTAATTAAATCACTGCTTGGCCCATTGGCACCAGTTTCTTATTGGCTAATTCTTAAATCTTAATTTAACCCATTTCTATTAATCTGTGTATAACCACATGGCAGTGGCTTACCGGGGAAAATTCTCAGCGTCTGTCTCCCACAGATCCATGGCATCTTTCTCCTGACTCTGCCTTTCTTCCTCCCAGCATTCAGTTCTGTCTTCCCTGCCTACCTAAATTCTGCCCTATAAGCTAGGCCATGGCAGTTTTTTATTCATTAACCAATGCAAGCAACACACAAATAGAAGGAACTCCTACACCATAATATGTAGGTGGTTCATTATTGTGAATATTATCATCTTAGAGAAATTCATGTTAGGAAGTGATAGAGACAGAATTTGAACCCAGAGAGCTTATTGGTAAAGATAGATCTTTGACTAACTACTACACTGTTGATTAGTTTGTTTGCTTTGGTATTTCCTTTTGGGGAAACAGTTTCTATGTGTAACAGCCTTAGCTGTCCTGAAGCTCAGTAGAACTCACTATTTAGACCAGGCTGACTTTGAACTCATAGAGATCAGGCAGCTTCTGCCTCTTGAGTGCTTGGATTATGGGATTAAAGGTTTGTGCACCACCATGGGGACTCACTTTGTTTGATCTTAACCCATTAAACCACCATTTCCTTTTGTGTTCCTGATCTCTCTTGCCTGGAACATTTTAAAGACCTTGTAACATAATTGTATAAACTGACATGACTGTTCCAAGGTTTGGTTAAGTGTAAGGTTTTTATTATAGCTGTGAGGGGAAAGTATAGCCAGAGTCATCTGGAAGAGTCCAGAGCAGGAAGAAGAAAGCCTTAAGTTGAACATAGGCAGCAGAATGGACTTGGCCTTGAGAAGGAGGTATAGGGGGTGATGAAGACAAAGAGAAGTGTGATGGCAAAGGAGATCAAAAGAGGAGCAGAAGAGGGACTGAGAGGAGGGGGGGGGGAGAGGAAGAGAGCTTGAGTAAGCACACACACAGCTGGATGGGGGAGGGGAGGTTCTGAGCTGAAGAAGTTTAGGGTTAAGGGGTGGGATGAGAGGATCCAGAATGCCAACATGGACGCTGAAATAACAGATACTTGTAATACTGAGGGAGACTGGAGGCCAGCATGTACTTTGGTATGCTAATTGATACCATGGATAGCCATTTGTGTCTCTGTCCCAAGTGATGAAGAAACTGGCTCCTTTGGTAGAGCGGAAATGGCTTTCTGAGGAATGCTGGCTTTTTCTACCCCCAGAATTTGGAGATAAATAGTTCCTTTAGATCAGATAAGAATCGCTATTTTTGTCTTATTTCTTGCTTTAATGTTAACATACCCACCATCAAATATGCCTTTCTAAGCCATTCAACTTATCTATGCTTAAAAATAAAAAACAATGACAAAAATCCTAATTTTCAAGGAGTTAAGGAGATGCCTTGTAGCCACTGGAGAGAGATGCCAAGAGCAGCCTAAGGAGAAAGATGCTAGAACAGAGGTTATGCCACGGCCATGTAGAGATGATACACAGATCAGTAGGAATGAGTTAATTTAAATAAGAGAGCCAATAAAAAGCCTAAGCTATTGGCCAAATAATTGTAACTGATAATAAGCCTCAGAGTGGTTATCTCATAAGCAGCTGCAGGGACCAGGTAGGCAGAGAGAAACTGGTCCAGTGAGATGGTGCAAGATAGAGAAGAGCCCTCTGCTTACACAGAGCTATAAACAAATTCTCAGTTGTTACTGAGTGATGACCTGAGTTTCTCAAGTACCTTTGGTCTTTTCCGCAGTCTTATTTCGTGTATGTCTCCCCTTCTCCATCTTGGTTCATGGACTTATTAGTGTCTCATGCACAATGAAATCTTGGAGTTCTGTTTTCTCTATCCTGGATACAGTCACCAGCTTTGAACCTGCACAGCATTCTATTATTCTATACATAGTCTGTGCAGTCATTATATTTTCAGAGTGCCCTAGAACATATATTTGCCAATAACATCTAAGCTCTTGTTATGGCCTTACATAGTAATAAGTCAGTCAGTGCTGTAGTGTAACATATACCCAGTTGTATAAATGTATGTGACCATAATTTGAGGTTGCTGGTGCATTTAGGAGGAGACTGTCCATTCCAGAGCCCAGACCAAGAAACTGCCAAAGGAACCACAGGAAGTTGTCACTACAGAAACGGCAAAAGAAAAACAGAAAATTTCATCTGAGCTAAGAGATGGGAGAGAAGACAGTTTTTGCCTATCTTCTGCATCTGTGTCTGGGAGCCCATCTTCTGTAGAAGTGACAAGATGTCAGTATTACTTCATTTTCCTTGCATTTTCTTAGCAAGAATAGTTAGCAATTTTCTTTTGTAACTCTATGAAAATCTAAGATTAGTTTTGTGAAATTTATTTGAGATAGGTAGTTTAAAAGTTCATTTTAAATCAGCTAATGCTAATAATTGGGTTTTTTTTTTTTTGGCCAAGTTGAGAACATAAATAGAATCCAACGTTTTCATGTTAGGATGTTAAATATCAAATGATTCAATGTGGAAATATTTAATATTCTTAAGCTATAAAAGCAAAAATGTAACATAATTCTAAAACTTTAAGTATTTAATAGCAGGAACTGTATGGGATCCTTTATACAATTCTTTGATAAAAAATATAAGAAATGCTGTGATTCTGTGAACTCACAGTAGATTATCTTCAGAAACAATAGTGTTTGCTTTTATTTAAAAATAATTGGTAATGGGGGCTGGAGAGATGGCTCAGAGGTTAAGAACATTGCCTGCTCTTCCAAAGGTCCTGAGTTCAAGTCCCAGCAACCACATGGTGGCTCACAACCATCTGTCATGGAGTCTGGTATCCTCTTCTGGCCTGAAGGCATACACACAGACAGAATATTGTATACATAATAAATAAATAAATATTTAAAAAAAATAATTGGTAATGAAAATACATAGTCTTTAGAGTGTTGGCTTACGTATGTCTTTCAATTACAAAATCTCAGGCTATTTTAAAACAGTTCCAAATGTGAATCATTTCAGTTAAATCCAAAAGTTAAATGTTAATGTGTATGTTTCCCTAAAGCACACAAAATCTTTTTATTTTCACAGTGCTCAGAATCATTGTCTCATTAGATAAGCTAAGACAAATGCACATATCTTGATTTGAGCTAAAAACCTGAGAATTGATTTCATTAAAACTTAACGTCCTTTTTTTATTTTGGTGCTTATATGTATGTGAAATGTTACTTCTAAGGAGCCATCTTCCCCCAAAACTTTTAGTTAAGTGGGTCCACTTGGTATCTGGGCTCATCAAATAGAATAAATTGGCTAGCTGACTGACTAAGCTCCAGAGATCCAACTCCCAAGCTCTAGAATTACAGGCATATTTCACCATGCCTGGTTTTTTAATGTGGGTTCAGGAGATGAAGTCAGGTTCTTGTGGTTATGCAGCAAGCACTTTCTGATTGAGCTGTCTCCCCAGCCTTACTGTCCTGGTATTTCAGTGAGCAGTTTAGACCAACTGATTTTGTAAAACTTTAACAGTTAGTTACTATAATCTTAAAATATTTAAAGCAGCAGTTAAGTCATCTCATACAATGTGTGTGTGTCTGTGTGTGTAGTTTAAATTTTTTTGAAGGTCCTTAAATTTTCAACTGTGAATTGTTCAAAGTCTTACTATTTAAAACATAGTTAGTCTTAAATTATTGAAAGTGTATCTTTTAAAAATACACCTAATCTTTGAACATTTGATAAATTATTCTATCATGCCCTTTCAAGAGCAAGAATGAAATAATACTCTATTTTTAACAGTAATACTGTATGTTTGTGTTTTGGGGGAATCTAGGTATAGAGAAAATAACAGAAAGGGATCTTACTGAAGATTATGACTACATCACAAAATCTTTTTCACCTTATCCAAAAACTGCATCATCTGAATCCTTAAATGATAACAATAAAGTTGAAAGTCAGAGAAAATCGCCCAGAACCAGTGAGACCAGTACACTATGTGTGAGAAAGAGTAGCTCACCTGTTCCAGGACTGCCTTCTTTGGTAAGAATATAATTTTCTTTTATCATATGCATCTGAAAATAGTTAGCCATTTGCCTATAATATTCATCAAATATGTATTATATGTTTGTTCGGTGTTTTAACCTTTAATAAGTTTTTGTTATTGGAATCACAAATTGACAAAACTAAAAAGAATATAGTTGAAAACCGTATTGTTCAAGTGCTTAGTTATATAAGGAGTTTAAAACTCATAGGTACTAACCATTGCTCATAATAAAATGGTGTTAATGACTATTTAGGGCTTGGAGGTATACTGAGAGCACTTGTCTAGGTGCATGGGACCTAGATAAAGTACCAGCACTTAAAGTGCAGTGGTTATTAACATACCTGTGTCAGATATCGAAAATTGCTGGTGTATTGAGCCATCTGGCCTATCACTTTTAGCTGATTTTTTTTCTAGATGGCTTTAAAGCCCTTTTATTTTAAGCCAGTAGTCTTTACGGGGGGTGGGGGGCGTATTTTGCAAACAAAATCTTAGCTTAAACTGTCAGTATGTCAAACAGTTCAGAGTAGTGCTATGTTTTTAAACAGATGTAGGAGGTTTAGACTCTGACTTACCTCATTAGCCCTCCAAGCCCCTTTGCAAGTCTCATTTTTCTACAGATGGCAACATACCAACTTAGTGCCCTATTAGATCCTGTCATCTGTCTTTTTGCATTCTTTAAATCCTTCACTTGTCATTTTCCAAGTGCCTGTCTACATCTAGGTAATTCTAACTGCTTCTATTACCTTCTGTGATGTTTTCTATGCTCTATGGAATTTTAGTTTGCTACATACTAACTTGCTGGAAAGTTAGGCAGTAACTGACCCTTTTCCATAGTTTGTGCTGAGTTCTACCTCAGGTTTCTGCTTTTACTCGCCTGGTGCATATGAAGTTTAGACTATCTTTGGAGTTTTATGGTCGACTGTATTAATGAGGACTTTCCTTTTAGCATTCTGTGAATTCATTTTTGGTTTTTTGTGTTAGTAGGGGTTGAATCTAGTACTTTATACGTACTCGATAAACATTCTTCACCAAGCTACATCTTTAGTCCCATTTATGTTTTCTGATTTGTAAAATGGAAGTGTTGATTTATCTTAAAGTTTACAGGAAATTCTTTTTTCGGGGGGAGGGTTTGAGAGAGGGTCCTGCTATGTAGCTTTGAAAGTCACTATGTAGACCAGGCTGGCCTCAAACTTAGATTCACCTGCCTCTACCTCCCAAATGCTGGGATTAAAGACTGCATCACCAAACCCAGCCTTTACAGGAGTTCTTACTATAGGCTTGAATGTAACTTCTGTATCTGGTAAAGGCATTGTACCTTTCACTTGTTAGAATCCAGAACTCTAGTCTGGCAAACTATGAAATAAAATTTCTGATCTTTCAGAATGTGTAAGACTCAAGCAGAAATGTCTGATACATACCTGTAGTCCTAGCTCTCAAGGGGTGAAGGCGGAAAGATTGAAATATCTTAAAGTATTTTCCTTTATTGTAAAAATGTTACTTTTTTATTTAAACTTTTAGGTTTCAGCCTCTCTAGTATTTCCTGTGAACAGTGGAAGTTTTCCACATCTAATGTTTACATTAACTCAGCCTTAGTCTTGTTGGTCACATGAGTCTAGCTATTAGTCACTGTCTTATACTAATACAACACTGCTTAGTTTTACATTTGCCTGAGTGTTTTCACACACAAACCTACACTTTACATTTCTGGAGTTTTAAAGGTTTTTGATTTGTATTTATCTTAAAAAAAAGCCAATAAGTAATAGGCTTTTACTATTGTATAAAATAATTTAATTTTTTAAATTTTGAGTGATCTTGCTGAATTCTATAATTTCCCAGGTTGTCATTGATTTTCTTTATAGATGATTATATAAAGTATTATAACTTTTGTATTTTATGACGAATTCTTGGACTTTCATGCTCCTCCTTTTCTTGTTAAAGTGACTTGACCTGTGAAGTATAGAACCATACATTAGGCATCTTTGCTCATTGGACTTGCTAGATACTTGTCGTTGAGCTAATTAATGTTCTATTTAAGTGGATTATGAATTTTAGCATTGATTTAATTCTCTAAAATTTTAAATTGTTTCTTACTTTTTTCTGTTTTTAAGTATTTATCTAATTATCTTTGTGTTTCTATGTACCATTCATTCATAGCCCAGAAACACAACTACCAAGAATAATTCTGTTTTGAATAGAAAAAATACAAATTCAATGATAGACAATCAAAGAACCCTACATTATAACAGCTATTCAGATGTAAGCAGTAATAACTCAGAGAAACATTTTATGGAAACTGAATCTCCAGAGAGTCGTGAAAACCATATACAAAGCAAGAGAGAGGTAATATGCTAATTCAAATTGCTAGTATTCAGTGGGAATCATGCTACCAAGTTATTTTTCTCTGTGATAGAATGATTTAGTCATATAAAGTTTAAAAGGAAAGTCTTTAAAATAATAAGGATATAGGGGCTAAATCTCTGAGTTTACGTATTTATAAAATTTCTGCCTTCATGATTATATAGAAATTCGGTTTTCTGAACTTCTTGTAAGCAGAAAACTCAACTGGTTGATAAGTAAAAATATTTAACAATTGTATACTATAGAAGATGAAAATAAAGTGTTGTATTTTGGGGTGGGGCTTAGGATTTAAGCTAACCATAAGTGCCTAGAAGAGTACATGTATTAAAGAAAGAATGGTAATCTAAGTAAAATTGCTTTTTTTAAAAAACTGTGTTCAAATAGTAAAGCACAAGTTTAAAGGTTAAAGTCACTTTATAAGAAAATTTTTCTGTAGCTCCCTATTTTCTAACTCAAAGACAATAACAACATGGTGAAATTGAAAATAAGAAATTTGCAAATTTATCAGGTTAAAAACTATATTAGCCTAAAATTGATGCTAATCTAATATCTAGATTCATTTGCAGCAATCTTAAAGATGACTTAAAGACAATGATATGAGAAAGAATTGGACAGCATTTGAAATCTGTTGGCTTGGGAGTTTCATAAAGATGATAAAGAATAGTCAAAGATAAATACAAGTGTTTATACTACTTTTCTTCTAATTTCTAATATTTATTTTAGGAAAGCCTTGCCGCATCTCCATTATCATGTTCTAGTGAAAGAGTAGAGAAAATATGGTGGGATATGCCCAGTGACAATACTCATGTATCAGGTTTGTAGGCATAGTCTTGCTTTTTAAAGATTTTCTTTAAAAATTTTATGTTGCCTGCATGTACATATATGCTCCATGTGCATGCAGTGTTTGTGGAGGCCAGGTATTTGGAGCTGGAGTTAGTCAGTTTCGAGCAACTGCACAGATGCTGGAAACTGAGCCTTGAGTCCTTGCGAGGGCAGCAAGTGCTCCCAACTGTTTAGCTGTCTTTCTAGTCACAGCCTTGCCTTCAAAGTCATTACTAATTACTTTGGATTTATACCTAAATGAGTTCTACATTTCAAGTCACATCATTGTTGTCAGAAATAAAAAGTATAAAGTATACTTTAACATAGTTGTTTAAAACCTTTTTAATTTAGAGCAATAAAGTGGTAGATGTATTGAAGCAGAATTATAGCACTATTATTTTTAATGGTTTCTTGAGGTCCTAGTCAACGATGTCACAAACGGCAAATGTTCCTAGAACATGATCTAAGTAATTCCAATGAAGCAGAAGTGGAAGAGGCAGAAGAGAGAGAACAATTACTCTCCAAAAGACTTTGTCAAAGGGAAGATTCAGATCATCACATTTACAAAAGTAAGCAGATCAAAATCCTGTCAAAACTTCTGGACAGCTTCCTGGAATTTGACTTAAACACAACTCTTTGTACAAACAACTTTGTGTGAGTCCAAGATGGATATGGACTTTTATCACAAAAATGACTTTATATTAAAGGTGTAGCATGATCTTCAAACAGATTTCCCCATCATTATATCATGTCTTAAATTTTCATTTTACTGAAATCTGAGCTACTTGATGTGTGTCACTAAAATACTTTGCTGATGCTTCTTTCTTATTAATGGATCAGATTTAAAAGTAAAAAATATTTGTTTTTTGTGCCTCAGAAACCCTATAAAAGGGTTCTGTGACAATTTCATTTTTTAATAATAAAAAATCCTCTGTTGGATTTAAACATAGATTTTTTTTGTTCTCAGTCTGAGGACAATGATAAATTTTGTGGTAATACATATTTTAATATTAACTCATTGTTTTTATTTTAATGTCTGAAATTACAGCTTCATTATCGACACCAGATTTTTCTATTCCTGAGGACTGGCAACAGGAGTTTCTAGGTGCTGAAATGTTATATGATAACATCAGCTCAGACTATAAGAGGAAAACTGATGTGAGTTACCTCATAAGTTATACACAATACCATGATAATGCACTCCAAGTTTCTGGTAGATGATGGATGGCTTGTCTGATCCTTAGTCAACAAAACACCCATTTATGAAGCTGACTTTGCATATAATTTGGATTATCAGATAAAAGGCACCTCTCATTCCTTCTAACATCTTTCTACCATATATATATTTCTAATTCATCTGTTAAATTTTTCTTTGCATTTTTACATTTTGTTCTGTATGTGTGTGAGGTGTGCATGCACACACATGTGCTTGTGGAGGTTAGAGGTCTTTCTTAGGTGTCTGCAGTTGTTCTCCACAGTCTTTTTGTGAGACGTTATCTCTCAATGAAGATAGTTTATTTATTGAGCTATATTGTATTGATTGACCAGCAAGCCCCAGATAGCCTGTTTCTACCTCCCCAGAGTTGGCTTTACAAGTATGTGCCCCTGCACCTGGCTTTTTATGTTGGTGCTGGGGATCTGAACTAGGGTCTTTATGCTTGCATGGTAAGCCCTTGGCACGTAGTTTTCTCCTCATTTCCGTCTTTAGACATTTTGATCTCACAGAGGCTATTATTGGTGGAGACTAGCACATAATATAGTGTCTTATACTCCAGCTTTCTTCCACCATTGTCTCTACTGTGTCCTTAGTTTCTGAGAATTCAGTGGATGTCTATACACAGAGTACATCCTAAAAACAGTGTTTACTATTACTAATAGGTAGAAAAGCACATTCTCATGTCTTTATTTGGATTGGTAATTAGTTCATTCCCTCCTTTAAACAGTAAGTATAGTTAGTATGACACGAACCTCATCTCTTGATTGCCTTTCCTTTTATCCAAAGATAAGATCTGAAATTTCTTAAAATCTTCATATTTTCAAAAGTCAAGAGAATCTCTAATTTTACAAACTGTTATATGACTGCAGTAGGTGAAAATGTGTTTTGTGAAAAATGGTAAATTCTATTAAGCTGTGCTCTTGAAGAAAACTATAATTAGTTCCAGTTTATATATTAGTACATATTTATAGTGTTTATAAAAATAGTATTCCTAAAAACAATAGAAAATTGAACTCTATTCAAATCCTGACCAACACAAGTAAATACTGCTGAGTTCATTATAAAAAAGTTGATTTAAATAATTACATTTTTAATTTTCTAAGTTTTTCTTAGGTGTTATGGGAAGACTTTTTCATACAACAGTCTTGGTTAGCTTGTTATTTCTATAAAGACATTTTAAGTTAAAAGTATCTTTCAGACCCAACATAGAATCATGGATGACTTTACTACAAAGACATTAAAATTGACTCAACAACATCTAATGACAGTGACCTCTCAAGCTCGAGGACGCAGGTCTGTACCACACATCTGTTTGGTGAGCCATGCATACTGTGTGCTTATGAGCTGTGGGCCCTGTGGTGCTGCAACAATCTCATTTTATTCCTTTTTAATAGGAATGAAAGTTTGGAGAAATTCAAAGTCATTCTCATAAATGAGATGGAGAAAGTTGGAAAAGACTCAGAGACTTTACGAGACTTGGAGAAGGAACTTGTGGTTTGTGTTTCTTAAAATTAAACATTTCTCAATGTTTAAAGGCTAAATATAGCTCTTTAAAATTGTTGATTCACCAGTTTGGAAGACTGCTGCAGGTTATTATTTAAAACATAACTCTATCTTCTATCAGCTGCATCCGAACTCAGAAATTTCCAACTAGTTTATAATGATGATTTTTGATAATGTGGGAGACATTTGAGAGATTTTATTTCTAATACTTGTAATATGAAAGAATATATGCTAAATACAGTATTCTAAATACAGTATTCTTAGCCTATAACCAGTTTTTGCTTAAATTTAGACTAGTAGAAATACATTAATTATAATTCAGGTTTTAATCATGTTAAAATACAAGAGATTTATTGTACCCTAAAACTTAGGATGTCGAGGAAAAATTAGTTCAGAAGATGAAGACATATCTTCGAAGCGAGAAGGAGAGGTTAGTATACTTTTCTTAATGAATAGAATCTGTAAGATATTGTAGATGAAACACAATATACACTGCACTATAGCAGTGGACTGTGAACTGATATGTAAAAAGTTTATTCTCATTTTATTTTTTAGGCTTCGTGTTTTGAAAACTTCACTGGATAATAGTTTTCTTGTCTCTAACTCTGTTTATGAAGATAATATTTTTATATCTGAGGTATAAATTTATGTACTTAATATGTAACCTTGATGTTGGATAGTCTAACTTTTTGTTGTGAAAATCTGATAAATTTCATGAGAGAAATGTTGTTTGCAGATGCGTTTGATGAAAGCAAACATGCAAATTTTGCAAGATAAGCTACTTAAGAAAATGGTAAGTGGGTTGAGTGTATGCTCTCGTGTAATTACCAGGCTTTTGTGTGCTTCTGTTTTATAACAGGTTCTTGCTTTTGAATCCAGATTGGCCTTAAACTTGTGATCCTCCCACCTAAACCTCTAGAATGCTCAGGTTATAGCCATGGACCACCACACTTGTTTACTTTTTATCTTTTTGTGGGTGTTTGGAGAAGACAGGTTTAAGCTGGTGACTTTTAGGGTTTTTGTTGTTGTTGTTGTTGTTGTTGTTTTAAAATTATGGGAACCTTGTTAAAGTAGATTGAGGGATGGATGAGGAAAGAGACAGTGATTTGCAAATGTAAAGCTAGGTGAAGAAATGACTTGTTTGTACTGCTATATCCACTGTGTGCTTTAACCAAGACCAAGCACCCAGACTGCTGAGTGGAAGAATTGTCACCTGCATAAGTAAGCAATGGCTCTTCATTGACTTGCTTAAACGTAGACTAGCAGCCACATTCTAGGATGAAGTACACGCCACAGAGACTCGTGTCTTTGCTTTACATGGACAAATTTAAGGTTTTCTCAGAGTTTAAGTGCATAATAATAGTGACCTTTATCAATAAAGTATTAAAGTACTTGAGATTTTAATGGCATGCAGTACAGGGACTGTGACGCTTTAGCCAGGCTCATACAACTTGAGCAAACAAGCTGCCAAGTTGATCCTCATTGAAAAAAGTCTTCTCTAGGGGCTTTTTATTTGTTGCTTTTATTTTTGTTTTGTTTTGTTTTTTTCCAAACAGTGTAGTAATATGGGGCGGCAGGGCTGCGTCCCCCACACCCGGCCGCCCACATGGCTAGCTTATGCTCCAAAATAACAACACACAAACTGTATTCTTTTAATCACTGCTTGGCCCATTCTCTTCTAGGCTAATTCTCACATATTAATTTAGCCCATTCCTAATCATCTGTGTGTAGCACCCCAAGGTGCGTTTACCGGGGAGATTCTAGCCTAGTCCATCCTGGGTCCGAGCTTCATCACGTGTGTCTGCCAGGGAGCAGGGCATGGCGTCTCTGCTGAGGCGTCTGCTCCGGAGAGCAGAGCTGTGGAGTCTCTGACCTCACTTCCTCTTCCTCCCAGCGTTCTGTTCTGTTTACTCCTCCCACCTATCCTCTAACCAATAAAATGGGCCAGGGCAGTGCCTTTATTAGCCAATGGCCTTCCTCCATCCAAACAGGGTTTCTCTGTGTAGTAGCCTGGCTGTCCTGAAACTTGCTCTGTAGACCAGGCTGGCCTTGAACTCAAGGAAATCCACCTGCCTCTGACTCCCAAGTACTGAGATTAAAGGTGTGCACCACCACTGCCCAGCTAGATTTTTTTTTTTACTCTTCCTTTACATTTTTAGGTGAAGATTTAAAAGATTGCAAGTCTTTTCTCCATTATCTTGAATATTGCTAGTGATGGGAGGATCCTCTAGGTACCTCCATGTACACCCTAAGGGACTGGGTGGAATGAACACTGATGTGTCTTTATGCAAATAGTTGTTTTTCCCTCTGGTCACAGCATGAAGAGGAACTTCTCAACATACGCAGAGGACTGTGGTCGTTTTTCAAGGTTCATGAAGAAAATGATGTATGAAATCTGGCTGCTATCAACACATTTTATCTGATTATTAGTTTTTTTATATAAGTGGAAAAAAGTAAGTAGCCTTGCAAATGTGCACCATCCAAGCAGCTGTATGTTTATGGGCAGGAACCTTCAGACTAAAACATTTTTTAGAGATGAAAAGAACGTGACTCCAGTGCAACTTTTGTGTACTGTGGACAAACAGTAAAAGGACTGGCTCACTTTGGGTCATATTTACACTACTTTTATCTGTGAAACTAAAGTGTATTTTTAATTGATACAGTTTGTAATAGATATAATGAAATTTGCATAATGGTTTGAAATATACAAGTAGTAAAATATTAGCCACCCTTTGAAAGGGGGGAGTTTCTGCTTTAAAATGTGTACTTTTTAGTACATTTATACTTTGAGATATTTATAGTTCCAGTGTACTAAAAATGTACTAAAGACCTAAAATTGTAGCTATTTCATAAACATTTTATCTCAAGCAGGATGCTTTGCCAATGCGTTCTAAACTCCTAGTATTCATTTAATGTTGTTAGATTATTTTTGAAATAAATGCTCACTTCATTTGAGTCAGTATATAATTACTTTATCATCACTATTCTATTTTATGAACCATAAATTACAAGTCGCCTTCAGTCAGTTGAAGGATAATACTAAGTAGCTTTGTTCTCCTTTGTCTATTTCAAGGTGGTATAGAGTATCTGAACAATACCATTATTCAATGTTATAATGGTAAAGTGGCTTCTTAAGTACAAAATACACTCAGTGTTTTCAGTTGACAATCTGCTAAGATTTTAAGATTTATGAAGAAAGTGATGGAATTTCTATTTCAAGAGCAAGAAATATTTACATTTCATTAGCTCCTTGCTTAGTTGTTTGTATAGCAAAGACTTGCTAAGGTTAATATTTTGTTGCTCTAGTTTTATTTTTGAGGGTATGTGTAGACCAGGATTAACTTCAAATTCAGTTCTGCCTGCTAAGATTAAAGGCATGTGCCCCAACCATCTAGCCTTTAGATGGTATATTTGTAATGGTTAGTTTTAGTATTTTTCAAATTGTTGTGCATTTTTAAGCACATTAAGTGAAAGTTATCCTTTAGATTATTCTAAAATAATTCCTAGAAGAAAATAATTCACTTTTTTCATGAACCAGAAGTTTTGAGTGAGATCAATGGTTATATGTCCTGTTTTGAACTTTAATATACACTATGACACCAAAAAAATATTAAAAAGAAATTTAGTAGCTGGGCAGTGGTGGCGCACGCCTTTAATCCCAGCACTCGGGAGGCAGAGGCAGGTGAATCTCTGTGAGTTCGAGGCCAGCACAGAAACCAAAAAAAGCTACAGAGAAACCCTGTCTTTTTTTTTTATTTATTATGTATATAGTGTTCTGGGCACCAGATCTCATTATAGATGGGTGTGAGCCATCATGTGGTTGCTGGGAATTGAACTCAGGACCTCTGGAACAGCAGTCAGTTCTCCTAACCTCTGAGCCATCTCTCCAGCCCGAGAAACCCTGTCTTGAAAATTAGGGGAAAAAAGGAATTTAGTAAAGTAGGCTGTCACACTAATGGAACACTTTTTAACATCAATAGTTTCTGTGGAATAATCCTTTTGTACACTTTTAATGATTTGTCACCCAAATTGGTTTAATAAGTAAGCTGACTGGCCAATAGCCAGTCAGGAAGTATAGGCAGGACAACCAAACTAAGGATGGTGGTGATGAAGGAGGGTGGAGTCAGAAGAGTCACCAGTAGGCGCAGAGAGAAACAAGATGGGCATGCCATGCTGAGAAAAGGTACCAAGCTACATGGTAAAGCATAGGTGAGAATATGGGTTAATTTAAATGTAAGAGTTAGCTAGTAATAAGCTCGAGCTATTGGCTGAGAATCCGTAATTAATATATACCTCTGTGTGGATACTTGGGACTGGCAGCTGGGAAAAGTCTGCCTACAGAGGACAAGGTAGAGATAGCTAAAATTAAGGGTCACTTGAGGGATAGTGTGGAAACCTAATACAGTAGAAGCTTCCTAAAATATATAATATATGAAGGCAATCTAAATGAAATCTCCAAATAACAGAGGACAAAGAGCCCCAACTGAACATCTCTTCTTACCAAATGAAGCTTCCAGTACCAGGAATGGGTTCCATTTAATGGAGTTCTTGACCTAATGGGTTCCATGGGAACCTTCAAACAACCCAGGCTATTGCCAAGACTATAGGTTGCTTTCTAAAAACTGATGGCAAGGCCCTATTGCTGGAAACACCTATAGAACTTATTGAATGTAGAGTAGTTAAACCTGGTGCCTATCCTAGAACATTGACCCCTATGGGCTAGTGTTCTTGGTACTGGAAGATACTGTGCACACTACAAAAAGAAAAACATAAACACCAACTGAGCCACAAACCCTTTGATTTACAATGTTCTACCTGCTAGATGTGCTGGTGCAGTGGTGGCGCAAAGCTTCTGCAAAGAACTAATATCTGATTTGACTTAAGACCCACTGCACAAGATAAACCCATACCCAGTGCTGCTTGGGTGACCAAGATCCTGAGAATAGACAGCCTAGAGACCCCTTGGGCACAAAACAAAATGCTACTTTTCTCCTGAAGGAACACCAGCAATAAAATAACTCCTAATGACACTCTATTATAGATGAGTACTTTGCTCAGCCATCATCAGGGGTTCTCTGTATAGCTTTGGTGCCTGTCCTAGAACTCATTCTGTAGACCAGGTTGGCCTTGAACTCACAAGATCTGCCTGCCTCTGCCTCTGGAGTGCTGGGATTAAAGGCGTGTGCCACCGTTGCCTGGCTTATTCTTACTTATAAATGCTTAGCCTTAACTTTATTTCTAGCCAGCTTTTCAAGCTTAAATTATCCCATCTTTCTATGGCTTCTGGACTTTTCCCTTTTCTTATTTCTGTATATTTTACTTCCACTCTTACTCTGTGAATGCTGGGTGCTGAAGTCCTCCTTTCCTTGGTCCCTGTTATTCCTTCTTTTCCTCGTTTTTTCTATTCATACTTTCTGCCTGCCAGCCCCACCTCTCCTTGTTCCTGCCTCGCTATTGGCCATTCAGTTCTTTATTAGGCCATTAATTATTTTAGACAGGCAATGAATCACAGCTTTGCAGAGTTAAACAAATGCAACATAAACAGAAGTAGCACATCCTTACTTCATAAATAAATGTTACACAGCATAAACAAAAGTAAAACACCCTAAGATAATATATTCTACTATAGATATACATACATGCACATACATATATATATACATATATATAATGTTTTAGGATTGAGATAGACACATGCATACATACATATATATTTAAATCCTAAAACATAATAAATTTTAATATTGAAATATGTTGGCAAGTTTTGAAGTTATAGTCTTTACATCCCAACCTCATTTTTTCTCTCCCTTCTCTCCAAGCCTCCCCTCTTTCTCCCTTGATGTGGGATGTCCTCCTATATACAGTGTTGCTTTTTATTGATCAATGAATAAAGCTGCTTAGGACAATAGCCTAGCAGAGTAAAGCCAGGCAGGAAATTAGAACAGAGATAGAATAGGTGGAGTCGGGGATGGCATGTAGCTGCCCAAGGAGATTGACGCACTGGAACCTTAGGAACCTTACCAGGAGGCCACAGCCTCGTGGTGATATACAGATTGATAGAAATGGGTTAATTTAAGATGTAAGAGCTAACTAGGAATACACCTAAGCTATTGGCCAAACAGTGTTGTAATTAATATAATTTCTGTGTGATTATTCAGGTCTGGACAGCCGGGAAACAAAAAAGCGATCTCCACCTACAAATGGCACCCATACATTTAGGGCTCACCTGCATGCCCAGCCACACACTTTGGGTTTGGGTGCTTGTATGCCAGCTCAGGGTTAGGACAAAAGTCTGGTTGACCCACCTATGTACTTCCTGCCTGTCCAATCAACATTTATTTAAAACATGATTGACAGAATACAATTCTCCCGCACCAGCTTCTTATTGGCTAACTCTTACATATTAATTTAACCCATTTCTATTAATCTGTGTATTGCCATGTGGCAGTGGCTTACCAGCAAAGTTTTGGCATGTCTGATTCTGGCGGTGGCTATCTCTCATAGGTGGTATCTTTCTATGACTAAACCCTTCTTTCTCCCAGCATTTAGCCTTGCTTTCCCTGCCTACCTAAGTTCTGCCTTGCTATAGATCCAAAGCAGTTTCTTTATTCATTAATGGTAATCACAGCACACAGAGGGACTCCCATATTACCTCACCTTTTCTGTTTAAATAAAAAGGATGGTTTTAACTTTAACATAGTAAAATTACCTATAACAAAACAGGTATCAAACAAGAATTATAGTTACAATATTTATATCTATTTTATCTTTTATCATAATTAATGAAAACTATAACCTAAATGCCCAGCTGGTCCACAGCCCAGAAAGTCTCCCAACCCTGCCTGCTTTGCTTGCTTTTACCTAAAGTGGTTTTTTGTAGATCTCCCACAACAGCGGAACTTACTGCATGCTGCAACTTGGAAATTTCCCAAGCACACACATGCCACTGCCACATTCCCCAATGGTGTTTGGAGGTTCTTCTATGTGTGGCTTTTATTGGTTAATAAATAAAGAACTGCTTTGAACCTATGGCAAGGGCAGAACAGAACTAGGTGGGGAAAAGCTAGACTGTATGCTGGGAGGAGGAAAGTGGAATCGGAGAGAAGCCATGAGCTACTGCCGGAGACAGATATGCTGAAATTTTGCTGGTAGGCCATGACCTCGTGGTGATTTAGAGACTAATAGAAATGGGTTAAATTAAGATGTAAGAGTTAGCCAATAAGAAGCTAGAGCTAATGGTCCAAACAGTGATTTAATTAATATAGTTTCTATGTGATTATTTCGGGTCTACGCTATCCGGGCAGCTGGGAACGAACAAACGGCTCCTCCTACAACTGATGTGCCAACATGGTGGACTAAATCCATGTGTGCCTGAGAATGGAGCAGTGTGTGTGGCTCTCGGGGTGGCA